GTAGTACTATCAAAAATTCGTCCTAATCCGATATGTTATTTGTAAATGTATTTATTACTTGTCAGAAAACTTTGTTTACTCTTTTATTGCGATCCTCAAACTATATCCTACCTGCATTGTAAACATAATAGTTGATAACACTCAGTCCTTTTTATAAATCTCACAATACCACTTGATCAATTTTGAGAGTTTCAATCTCTCAATTTTCAAGTTAACAATTAACAAATAAAATTAATTCAACATTAGTAGCAATTAAAAATTCCTGCAGCATCTAAATCAGTAACAAGCAATTTTAATTTTTGTTGACAATTTCGAAATTTGAATGTAATGTATTATTTGAATTGTAATGATTTTACAGTGAAGCCGATGCCAGAAAATATTCGGAAAGCAATTCTGGACGAGCTTCAAAAAGGAGTATCCCAGAGTTCTTTGAGTAACAAATACGGATGCTCAGTAGGGACTAGTAATTGGAAAAATGAATGCATGTGAGAGGCATTAAAAAGAATAAAGCACGTCGTAAGCCAAAACTTTCAGATACCTTCAAGCGCGGTATTATTCGTTCAATTCGTTCAGGCGAAGTTGATAATGCCGTTCAAATACAACGGAAGCTTTGGCGGTTTGATACCAGTGCTGAACGAATGCGCACTGACTTGCGAGGAAGGGCAAAAGTAAGCAGGTAGGCATGAAAGAACTAAGATTAGCCTCCGCCAAAAAATATGCCCACTACACAAAAAATTATTGGTCAAATGTGGCATGATCTGACGAAATCAAAATTAATAGATTTGCGTCTGATGGCAAAGAGTGGATCTGGAAAGGGCGAAATGAAAAATTAAAGTTAAACCAACAATTAAATTTGGTGTAGAAGTACAATGGTACAATGTTTCATGGCAAAAAAGGGGTTGGTTTTTTTGAGAAAATAGAAAGGAGAATGTCTGCAGTCGATTGTGTTGAGATTTGGAACTTTAGCTTCATAGAAAGCCTTAGAAAGCTCAATAAACGCAAAAAGGACATGCTTTCCCAACAGGACAGTAATCCTAAAAGCATGGCTTAATGAATATAGGTTTAATTTGTTAGAATGACCACCACAATCTCCAGATTAAAACCCCATCTTTGTACCCTGCTGAAGAGATCTTGTTATTGCTTCAGCACGCAACACGCAGCAATTGTGGGAAAATGTTGTGACCTAGTGGAATCAAATTACTCCACAACAATGTGAGAAGTTGGTTCAAATGATGTAAAGACGGATCCACACCAAATATTAAAAGTCATAATATTGATCAAATGTTTTTAAAAAAAGTAATTTGTTGTTCTACTTTAAATAAATTTAAAAGAAAATGTTCTGTACATCTTTTATACTTTTTTTTAATCCTACTCATAAGTAATATCCTAGCAACAATGGAATGCAATTTAACCATTTTTAAGTCACCTTAAACTTAGTTAACTTAAACATTATTTGTATTTGATAAAAGTAACATTCTCAAAAAAGTCAGCGATTTGCCACACCCTGCTTACACCCCTGACTTTGCTTCATTTATTCTAGTTTTCTATTATGTTGTTTGGTAATAGTTACGCATCCCTCGTTGCTTTGTTACTTCGTTCACTTAATGAGTTACTTAGTGTCCTTTATACTACTAGTTAATCTGCACTACAGATGAGTTTCTTGGGTCAACTCGACTCTTTTCGTTGGGCATCACTAAGTTGCTCGCTTGTCTTTCTCCTCTATCTGTCTCTCTCTCACTCTATATATATATATATATATATATATATATCTGTCTGTCTATCTATCTATCTATATTTATGTTTATCTACCATTATCTCTCTCTATCTGTATAGCTACGCATCTCTTTGTCTATCTATCTGTCTGTCTCTCTCTCACTCTTCCTCTCCCTTTATCTATCTTTTTTCTCTTTCCCTTTCTTTATCTAACAATAATTTGTTGCATTTTGAATAGTAAAATATAAGATATTTCAACCCTAAACCCTCCTTAAATGTTATTTTTGTATTTAAATACCTGTTCGTTTATTAAACCATTGCCATAAGGTAGTTAACATACCCTATTCGCTTTCGTTGCAACTTTCGGTTTGTTTAAGGGACCGATATCAAGATATAAATACTTTTTTTGTTGTAATAATCATTTCGATTACGCCTGAATTTAACTTCAAAATATATGATTATTATGACAGAGTTTTTTCAATCTTTGAAGTAACAGCGTGATTCTCTTTCATTGACGTTGATTTAGGTTATTATTTGAATAGTAACGTTTTTTCCCCTTTTCCCGCCTATCTTTCTGTAAGTTGTCACATATCCCCGGCTCGTTTGCCAGGTAGTAAGTTAACAAAGGGCTCGTTCGTAGCCGGTCCATTTCGAGTGAGGAACGGGGCCGAATGGGGCCCATCGGAGTGTATCATTGGAGCAGCTGGCCCTTTGACTAATAGTGACAAAATACCTTGACTCCAGTCAATTTAAGGCTGTTTGGAAGACGCCCCACCTCATGAAGCCCTAGTAAATTAGGAGAACGGCCGTCCGGAGAAAAGCTCTGACTAGCCTGAGCACCCTCAAGGTGTGCCTTCTTTGAGGCATTGTTGTTTGAAGGTGTCTTTTCGAAAATCCTGACTAAGCCAAGTGTGACTACTATAGACATAATGTGAAAGGAACTATTTAAAAAGATTGTAAACGACCGATTTGGAAAAAACTACTATATCAGTACAAACGTTCTTTATGTAAGAGAACATAATATTATCCTTAGCCTATATTTGACTATTGACGTATTTGACTTACTATTTAACTTTTTCGCTTATATGAGATATATATTGTACTATGAAAAACGACTCAGTAGGGTCGTTTCCATTGATAACAAATACAAATACTTCGAAAAAATTTTTTCGGCTTTTTGTTTTGTTTTCGCATTTACGTAGTAAACGGTGAGGCTTACGAGCTTAATTAAGCTTAAGCAGGGTCGTTTCCATTAAAGCCAAGTGCAAATACGTTGATTTTTTCGGATTTATTCGTATCTCTAAAACTATGAGGTTATTATTCTTGCGCCAAAATTCTTTTTCGGTGTGTTTCCACTTGTTTTCAATGGAAACGACCCTTCTGAGTCGACTGGAGCAACAAAGCTCGTAAACAACATAGTTTACGAGATAAGCGCAAAAAACGAACTTTATTTATCAATGACTTCGGAAGCAAAATATATAACTTGTACCTGTCTTTGGATTTAATTTTATCGTAACAAGAATGTAAAAAAACAGATTTGCTTACTTCTGACGTACTTCAGGACCAAGTGGCTCACTCCGAAACAGCAGAGGAAGTAACTTGCACTTTTCAACAATGCAATCTTACAAATAATTAGGTAGTTCTCAAATAATCGATGTTGCTGAAGTAATCTGCAGTATAATCCTATAATTGAACACAAATAGTCGAGCATCGTCGTTCTCAATTGGTAATTAATCGAGCAAAATCAGAAATGTTCGGATAATACAAAGAAAAACAGCTTTGCTTACTTCTGACGTACTTCAGGACCAAGTGGCTCACTCCGAAACAGCAGAGGAAGTAACTTGCACTTTTCAACAATGCAATCTTACAAATAATTAGGTAGTTCTCAAATAATCGATCTTGCTGGAGTAATCTCAAGTATAATTGAACACAAGTAGTCGAGCATCGTCGTCCTCAATTGGTAATTAATCGAGCAAAATCAGAAATGTTCGGATAATACAAAGAAAAACACAGATTTGCTTACTTCAGAACAAAGTGACTAACTCCAAAACAGCAGAGGAAGAAATTTGCACCTTTCAACAATAAATACACCACAAATAATCAGGTAGTTCTCAAATAATCGATCTTGCTGAAGTAATCTCAAGTATAATCTTGTAATTGAACACAAATAGTCGAGCATCCTCGTCCTCAATTGTTTATTCAACAACTAAAATCAGAAATGTCCGGATGATCCAAACGTTACCTTAATGGTTTGACAATAAATCAAACAGCACGATGCATGCAGCAAATCGATTTTGGAATCATTAGGAACATTGAAAATTAAATATTTAAAAAAATCGTAGTACTCCTGGGCTTAATAGCTAAATCAAGATTTTATATGATTATTTCGGAAATGAATTTTTCCCTTTGATTTTGTAGGTGTAAAAGGAAAATATTTATCTGGGTTATATCACTCAGAATGAAATCATCAACAAGGCAACGCTCCTAACACTGCTCGTGTGTTGAGGTAGGTGACATCGAAAATTTCAGGTGTTTCTACTCACCATATGCAACAAAAACTTCCTATTAACCCCTGTTCAAATCTCAGCGGTAAAGAAGAATTACAAATTTGGTTATGTTTTTTAATTTTTCGACTTAGGTCTACAAAAATTGCTTATAAACTTAAGAATTACTGACTAGAAAAATCTGGTTTATGCCACCTGAAAGAACGTTAAATTTGCTGTAAGAAAACCTATTTACATTGCAGAATTGATAAAAAAATTCGAAGTTGATTTTACTCTGCGTTATAGTGTTGGGTTATAATAAATATATTTAAAATTTGGTATACACGAAATTTTTGATAATGGCATTCGCCGAAAAGTAAGTGCTTTACTACTCTCTGATTGATTCCAATCCTCAAAGTGTTATTTTATTATGGTTTCACTTACGCTAACTTGGTTAATATTACTTATAATTTGGTCGTGGATAAGGAATATTGCCTGCTTTTAGAGGTAAAGTAAATATTTTACAAATTGACATTGCCTCCAAAATGGTTCACTATGCGTACTAAATACTACGTAAAATTAAGCAAAGCTACAAATTAACACTGTATTACTTTTGGTTTCGGATACTTCACCGAAAGAGACGTCGACGAAGCCGGCTAGAATTTCGTGGTGGGGCTTATAAACCAACAAGGCCCACCCTCGTCGGAGGATATCCTGAAGGGGCCGGTGCGGTCTATCGATCGTCAGATACATTTTATGTATCTTCGAGATGGTAGCTAGAAGAAGACCAATGGGAGCTGTGGGCGGAACGGTAGGCGTGGAAAGAGGACCAGTTGCGGTGAAAGGGTGCCAGTCGACCTCGGCAGACCCCTTCTTGCACTATCTCCGTAAGTCAGTCCATCATTTATGATTAATTATTTATTTTCTATTGCGTCTTATTTTAAAAACTTATCTCGACCAATTATGAATCCCTGTTAGCCATCAAACAACTTTAAAAGTTAGCCTTATCTATGAAGAACAAAAAACTGCTAAAAATTAAATTTTTGACAAATTTTTCTTCTAATCAGACTACTTTTATATGATTTTTTTCTATTTGTAAATATACAGGGTGTTAATCTGAACGCATAGGACATTTTTGAAATTTTTTATTTATTTTTTAAACCTAGTGGAAAATTTCAGTGAATTGTCGTTCAAGAACAAAACCTAAAAATTGCAAAGGATACATCACTAGATGTACTTTTATGTCCTGAAAACGTGGTTTTTTGTAATTGAAATCCGACCAGTAGTAAAAAAGTTATAGTGTTTTTTTAATGTCATTATTGTAAATTAATTAACCCCGTTTGTGATAGTTAAACTTTTTTTCAAATAGGATAATGATTGCCAGACATTAAGTATTAACAATTTTGAGTAAAGTATATTATATAACTCGCGAAGGAAAGACAGTATGTACAACTTTATATATACAAATACAAAGTTACAGGTACATATTTTTTTAAATTTGATGTTGAAAATAATAATAATAAGTGGGAAGTTTATGGGCCAACAAACAGCTGAGGTCATCGCCGGCCCTCTACGTGTTTTCCATCTTTTCTTTCCTTTCGCGCATATTTTGTTTTAAACTGCAGCCATTTGAGCATCTCGATCTGGTTACTGACTCTCTGATTTCAGATATATACTACGTTGATATTCTAGAATGCTAGTCTCTCGTTTGTACCTCAGGTTGTCAAATACAGAATAAAAACAAAACATACAATACATATCTATACATCACCACAAACATAGATGTCTGGTCACATTCATTCCCCCAGAGTACTCGATATTCCTCGGGGCGGGGTTATAAGCAACCCCTTCCTTTCACGCTAATAAATTACTTTTACTCTCCAGACGTCATATACTCACCCCAGAGTACTTGATATTCCTCGAGGCGGGGTTATAAGCAACCCCTTCCTTTCACGCTAATAAATTACATTCATTCCGATAAACTAACACAAACACAACACTCGATAGAAACATAGAGGTCTGGTCACTTTCACTCCCCCAGAGTACTCGATATTCCTCGGGGCGGGGTTGAACCCTCTCCACTCTCGCTAATAACTTACTTTTACTCTCCAGACGTCACACACTCACCCCAGAGTACTCGATATTCCTCGGGGTGGGGTTTAATCACCCCTTCCTTTCATGCTAATAAATTACATTCATTCCAATAAATTAACATAAAGTCAAACACAAACACATAAAACTATATACATTTAAAAATCCCTATAGCCCTGAGGTACCGGAACAGCGATCTGTGCCCGCTGCCGTGCCCCAAGACTACGCACAGGTCCGATGATATGCCAAAATATTGTCTATATACATCAAGCCTTCTGCACTTGAAGAGGTGCTCGACCGTTATTCTATCCTTACATAACGGGCACCTACGCGGTCGCTTTCCGGCCAGAAGGTGCCCGTGCGTTATTCTCGTATGACCTATGCGTAGTCTTGTCAGTATGGCCTTTTCCCTTTTCGAACCGTTCTCCGTGGACCAGGGACCGACCTCTTTCTTAACCTGCCACAGTTTGGCAGGGTTAATTCTATTTCTTCGAGCCCAGCGGGTTTCCCATTCTTTTTTTTACTGAGTTTGAAATTAGTAGTTTTAGGTCCGCTGGGCGTATAGGTTGGGAATCGTCGTGGGGCATTCCAGCGGCTCCTTTGGCCGCCCTGTCTGCTTCTTCGTTCCCGGCTATACCTATGTGGCCGGGAACCCATGCCAACACGACCTTCTTCCCAACTGCATCGATCCCTTTTAACTGTTCTTTTATCTTGTTTATTAAGGGGTCCACGGAGGCTCTTCTCCTGAGCTTCTGGATCGCACTGAGCGAATCGGTACATAACAAAAAAGAGTTGTTGTTTTTATTTTTTATCGTGCTCAGTGCGAGGGATGTTGAAAAAACTTACAGAATTGTTGGCAATTGAAAATCTTTATTTTCCTTCTAGGAAAATTTGTCGTTTGGTCAAAATTTTCTAAATAATGTCTATAATAGTCCTTAAATGAAATGTAAAAGTGATGTTCATGAAAATCCAATATTTACTATTCGTTAAATTTATATAATTAATTTCTATTTACTTATTTATTTCACGGTTTCCCAACGTTTACAATAAAAATTTAAAGGTTTGAAAAAGGCATAAATTTAAAAATATTTAAATTAAAAAATTTAAAATGAATTGAAACAACAGCAATGCATTTTTCAATGATAAAATGTGCTGCTTCTCGGTGCAAAACATAATTTGGCATAATTAGTTCTATGGAAATCAATAGAGAATGAAACTTCTGGACTTTGGTCCTACACTGTTCTCCATTTTCCTAAAACCTTTATACATCGGCTTCATATCGCCCTGATCCTCCTGGAGGATTGTCCGGAACGTTTCTGCATAAGATGAGAGTTAAAAATTAATGCATTTTATGAGAGTATATAGATTGTTTTTCGGTGGAAAATTCTAATAGAAAAAAATAAAATTTTATTTACATACATATTTGCAACCATTTTTTTGTACAGAATGATACTGGTCAATGAGATTCCGAGCGTCTCCCAAGGATACATAATTTGCATAGATTGAAACTGGTCTCATGAGATTCATATAATTTTTCTGAATAAATAATAATAGTGTCATCAGCGTATTTTCCCAGAAATGTTCAATTTTAATTATTCGTTAATGTAAATAAAGAAAAAAGATAGGACCTAAAACTGTACCCTGTGGCACACATATTAAATATTAAATTTTAGTTGATAATAGTGTACAACAGAAAGATTCAGTTCTATTTTTCTGAGCCCTATCAGAAAGATATGACTTAAAAAGATTAAGAGCAGTTCCATTGATACTAATATTAGATAATTTTTGAATTAGTATTGTATGATCAATAAGTCAAACGCCTTCTTAGTATTCAAAAAATGCCTACAATCTTTTTTTTTTAGCAACCAATTAGTTTTGTTAGTGACTTCGAATAGGGTTTTGTCAAATTTTGCTGGTTTACTAAGAAGAAAACCAAACTTATTATTAGAAATTATATTATTTTTGCAAAATTTAAATAGTTGAATTTTCATACATTTTTCCATGTTAAGTTATTGATATCTAATTTTGATCCATTTTTAAATAATGGTACATACAAGTGTTCTTTTAAAAAATGTTGGGATTATCCCCAGTGAAAGAGACAAATTAAAAATATGAAGAAGACATAAGTTAAAATCAATTTTATCATTAAGGTTCTTAAACAATATTTCAAATTCTTCAAAACTATTTACCTCCATATTAAACACCTTATTTATGAAAAATGAGGGGTTTGGTTTAATCATTGTGCTACTTCTAACTTGAGTAACCAGTAAACTTGAATGAAGACAAATTTCATGTAATTAACCTGTCTTGACGCCGCAGGTATTGTTTACATGTCTCTGTTTCATCCACCATAAGAAGAAATACGTTTGAAATGATAGATTAATAGTAAATTACGAATTTTTGCAGTTCCACCCTTCCCATAAATAACTGGATTTATGAATTGCGAAGAAGAAAGAGGTACGAGGAAACCGAAATGCGCCCGCTGTCGAAACCATGGCTTCATCGCATGGCTGAAAGGACACAAGAAAGACTGTCCTTTCTCGACGTGCAACTGCGCCAAATGCGGCCTCATAGCCGAACGTCAGCGTGTCATGGCGAAACAAGTACGATTTCTGAAAAAATTATCATGTTTTTGGTTGGTATTTTCACGGTTCTGGACGTTTTCAGGTCGCCCTGAAAAGGCAGCAAGCGGCCGAAGATAACCTCGCTTTGAACCTGAATCAAGCGGTCACTGGAAAACGGTTCAGGTACCTTCCTCCAGGACCGATAGTCTCGTCTTTACCTTTAACCTCAAAACAAGGTATACGTACAAACATGCCTTCCTTATTCGGTTTATGACTTGTATGCTTATTAGAAATCCCCTCCGTGGAAAACGACAGGGAAAAGTCAGCTAAAAGACGCGCCAGTCTTGAACTCCTGATGAAGCTTTGTCCCGACAGGAAAAGATCTGTTTTAGAATTAGTCTTCAGCAGATGTGACGAACAGCTCATGAGCGCCATCGAACTCTGCTTGTCATCAATTAAAGGTATATTTACTAGACTTTTAAATTACATACCGCCATTTTTTTTATCTAATTCAACTTTCAAAACTAACTCTCCTTTTTGGAAGAATGGTTGAAGAAATAGAGGATCGAAATCAAACCAAACATAAAACTTACCTTCCTTCTCCTACAATTCTATTCCTCTCCTAGCAACCAATGTCGTCCACTATTTGGGACTTTACATCAACAAAAGCCTTTGGAACTACAACCTCTTATAAGAAAAGGGCTGAACAGATGATATAAACTTCTCAAAAGACGTTAAGCTGTCCTTCCTCGCTTACACATCACTACTAAAACTATTCTGGACGTTCTAATAGAACTGTGGGACTCAACCAAGCGTTCCAATCACTAAAGAATCCAATTGCTCTTGTACTAAGTCCTTTGAACCGTTGCTCATGCTCCCTATTTCGTATCCAACCTTACTATCCCCATATGTCCTCGAACAGCCAAAAGTCGATACAGATGTCCCGTCATGCCCTGGATCATTATAATCTTCCCTTCTTCAAACCTTAAGATATTAAATAATAACGGAATGTTTAACCCTTTATGGATAAACAATCGTGTTGGTTGTATAGTAATTGACAGAATGTCTTCTAATCAAAAATAATTTTACATAAAACCACCTTTACTTGGGTTTTTTAAAACGATGATTGCTTATGGTAGCAATTGCCACGCGAGGATAGTAAATATTGTTATCGTCGACTTAAGTCTTTTTATTCGGATACTTTTGTGCTTTGCAGATCGCGACGAAGAAACGGAAGTGGAGATGCACAACTCTGCTTTTCAACCTCCGGCAGCCCACCAGGCGTCGAGGGCGTTGCTTCCTCCACCACCGCCACACTATTTCAACGCCTGCCTTCCTCAGTTTTCGTAAGTGGTGAAAAAACGCATTTCTAAAAATTGTAAAAATAACGAAACTTTGGTTTGCTTTTACAGCGGATGCCCTTATTACACAACACCGAGTTTCGGCTTCAACTCAGTCCTCTTGCCTCCCCCTCACGACCTTCTGTGCGATCAGTGCAACAAAAAAGATTAAATTTAGAATAACCCAGGTTGAAATATTAATCATACTCACATGCAATGCCCAGTCATATTAATTTTTATAAATATAAAACATATTAGTCTCTTTAAAATAATCTATAAGTTAAGTACAAAATAATTTAACATACAAAAGCATAAAGCGTATGTCGTCAAGGATTGAATTCAAAAATTCAATTTTCGATTATGTTCATGGACCTTCTAGCGTACGAGTAATTTCATTTGATATCATATGCGCCACAATTATCCAAATGTGCAATTATATCTAGTGCAATTTGTTTGTATTACTGTTTGAACTAAAAAAACTGATGAAATGTTTATGTATACTGTTAAATATACAATTTTTCTTCTTGTAATCGTTGTAAAATCAATTTTCCCTGTCTCACATTACGTCAAGCCTCGATATTTTAATTTATTTGCTGCCAAAGTCCAGGACGAAAATCCTTGGCCGGGTTGAAATGATAATAAAAACTCAATTTTTAAGTTAAAACTCAGGTTTTTAAGTGATTGCTCGGTAGTGAATGCTCGTTTCTCACCGAAGATGGCGTGAAGCCGTAAAGCGTCTGAGGGATTTTACCATTAGAGTGCATGGACCCAATAATATGGTCCAATGTCGACGTCGACCATTGTTGCGCTGAAAACAAATTCTGTCTCCCATGCACGAATGCTCTCAATACTCTATTATATCTATGTGTGTGTGTAACTTATTCTCACTCTCTCATTGATCTCATTCATCCTTTCATTTCTCTCTCTCTCTCTCTCTCACTCTCTATCTCTCTCTCTCTCTCACTCCCTCACTCACTCATTATCAGACTCTACTTCATTCTTATTCTCTCTCTATCTATCTATTTATCTTCTTACAACGATTGACTTACTTAGCCACATATCAGCTGCGTGATTGAATTTTAATCATATTCCATATCAAGCTTGATTGTTTCAAGGGTTGCTTGTCCCTATTAATTATACATATTTAGTTACTTTACTCTACTAGTTAGACGTCGCTGGGTTAGTTGGTTCACAATACTGGTTACGTACCGCGAAGTTATTTTATTCTACTAGTTAAGGGGCTCTAGGTTGCTTGGTTTCTTGACTCTGCTAATTACGAGTCCCTAAGTTCTTTCATTCTAGTAGTTAGGCGTTGCTAAGTCATATTTTCTACTTGTAAAACGCCGCTAAGTTGCTTGCTTGCTTAATTCTACTGGTCACGTATCACTAAGTTGCTTTTTCACTAATATTTACATCGCTAAGTTGCTTTGCTGTTTGACTCTACTAGTCACGCATCGCTAAGTTGCTTTTGCTCTAATATTTACATCGCTAAGTTGCTTGGTTGTTTGACTCTTGTATTTAAACTTCGCGAAGTTACTTTCTCCTTAGAAAGTTTACAATCTCCTTTCTTCACCTTCTCTCTCTCTCTCTCTCTCTCTCTCTCTCTCTCTCTCTCTTTCTCTCTCTCTCCCTCTCTCCCTCTGCAACCTATCAGTTACCCTATATAGGATATACATTTATTGTCCCAATTGGTATGTTAGTCCATGTGAGAATGATCCATGAGGAAAAGAATGAAACAAAGAACAAATTTTCATTTCTTCTTCTTGTTATGCTTTTCGTAGAAATGTGTCAGAAAGATCATAAAAAATATGGTTAGAGTTATATTCTACTTCAATTTCAGACGAACGGTTTTGATTGTGCTATTAGGAAAACAACACACGACTGTTAAAGTCCAACCTTTTCCGCGGATAGGAATTTTTCGAGACGGCAATCCCCTGAACAAACAGAGGGTCGCACTTGGTAATCCGTCTTAGTTGCTCTAGGCAAGGGTATACCAAGCGTTTCCCCGCCTGACGAAATAAAGTCGGTTCACGTCCGGGGCAAATGAAATGAACCCTGGTAACTTATATTTGTCTTCCACCCGGACGCCCCCGGGTTGCTTGCACAACTCATTTGAACCGATCCCCCGCAAAAGAAACCAACAGTAAGTTTCTCGTCTTTTCGGTTTGAAAATGAAATTTCCTACAATTAAATGAGGATGAACAACATAAATATATTGTAAAACTTTAACAACTCTGTACTCTAAGTCGAGATCTGTCGACTTGCTACAAAATAAAATAAAATATAAATAAATTAGCCACTAGCATTTAAAGCCTATATGTAAATTTCGCCCTACCTTTTAATTTAGCATATTTTCTCTGGCAACTTTGTTCCCCATGTTCAAAAAACAACTCACCACAATAAACATACGCCCTTTTCCGCCGGAATTGTTTTGATTCCCAACCCAGTGATGTTGTGCGTGTGTGTGGGCCCAGATGTGCACCATGGTAAAAACAGGGACCACACATTAAGGGGAAGGTGTTGAGTTTCCCTGATTGACACACGTCCGTCTCCCGAATGAAGTCCAATTCCGTTTCTTTTCCCTAAGAAACAATAGACCGCACTTTTAAAAATAGGATCGGGGAAAATTTCTTTAAATTACGAGATTTTCCTTTGCCTTTTTTTATTTTTAACCTAACTGTATTTCAAAGACACTTAGTTTTTCATCGCTATACCATGAATTTTATTTTCATTGAATCAACGGTCTAATTTTAATTAATTATTTAGACTAGATTGCGAAACATCGCCGAGAATCTGTAGATGATCTATCCTCTCGGATATTCCAGGTCCGTCTGTTTTCGCAGATTTACGATTTATTTGCCTTTGATTTCTTGATTTTCATTCCTTACGTAGGTTTGACATGATCACGAGATAATTAAAATTCTACGCATGAAAATGTCAATGTTGACATAAAACCAATATTCGCTGTTGGTCCTCTGCTTCATCAAACCCTTGTGCAGGATGAGGCTCTCTGGGAAAAAGAATTATTCTTGAAACAAAATTGTATTTGGCGGCTCATTTGTTGCCTTGACACCTTTCTAAGCCCCCGGAGATATTTATAAGGGAGATGAAATTAGTCGGCTCGGTCAAGTGACAGCTTAATGGATCTCTGTTTGTTTTGTAACATTGCCCTCTTCAGAGGGGAAAGATTCAGACTATTTACAATCCCGGGGAACGGAAAACTTGCTTTTTTATACAGCAGAACGATAGATAAAATATTTTGTATCTATATCTTTGACGATATGGTCGTTAAGAAGTAGAAAACAAAATTCTGAATTTCTCGCCATGGCTCCAAGCTCCAACCCGAAATATCTGTACTTCTGACAAAATAATGTCATATTTGAAAAAAAATTAAATAAATATCAAAAACGATTCAATTACATTTTAAATATTTATGTACCAAAATATGCAATATTATTGTGTATTAGTCAGCAATTACTTAATTTTTTTCACTGTTTTCATGAATCATGAGAAACATTATTTAAAATTGGTTTATGGCTATTGTAAAAATATAAATACGAAGGAAATTTGACAAATTTTTCGATTGGGAAAGCTAGAAAAACGTTTGGAGCCGTACATTCAAATTTCAAATGAGGTTTGGCAACAAGCAATTCAATATTAGACTAATACAAGCCAGCGTCTCACAAGGGAGCATTCTTGGTCCAATCCTTATCTCAACATTTTCACTGCTGACTTTCCCATTACAACTCACACTATTACCACCTACCTGAAAAACCACAATTTTGTCTTCTAAGCAATCCTCAACATGCAATAACATCATGAATTTATCAAAGACCGATACAAAAAGTGGAGGACTTGACCGAATGAGGAAAAATGTACCTAGAGAATTCTGTCGACGCCATGATTCAAAAATTCAAATTTGATCAGTAAATGCTTAATCAAAATACCCTATAGAGCAAACAGGGAGAAAGGGATGTTAATGCCGATTATATGTGGTTTGCAGGCAAAGCATGCGTATGGTGTTGGTACCTATGGAAATAAACCAAAGGCTAGAATTCATATAAGCCTTACACAATATGCCACTGATTTTCTGGCATGAACACTAGCCAGTGAGATCAAAAGGCTGGGTGTTTCCAAAAAAAGAATTGCTATTTACATTTACTTTCAGGCGGCATTAAAGGTTACTTCATCGGTAGTAAAGTCTTGAGTCGTTTGGGATTGTATACTACCCTGTCAGATATTGGGACATCAAAATTACTTCTTTTCTTAACCAGGATAGAGGGGCAACGAGAGGGCCGTAAACAGGCTAAGGAACGTTCCATAAGGAAGAAGAAAAAGCAGTGTCCTCTGTTGGTGCGGTAACCGATAAATTAGCCAAGGAAGGTTAAAAGTCCATACCGAATTATCGAAAACGTAGATCCATCAAACAATAGGTTAGGAATAGTCATTAATTCAATGAAAATGTATTCCATGACAGATGCGTGCGAAAAAGTTTATTGAAAGACCATCACGGAAGCTTACGGCAGAACTGCAAAACCTAGGACTTGTTACGACTATGATATTTGGAGTTCTAACTGGACACTGCAGACTCCAGCGGCATACGTATTCGGCCCAAGAAGAAGAAATAGCAGAAATGTATTCTGCTGGTGCAAAAGGCTGTAAAAGCTGAGATTCTTACTCCTGGGAGAGGAAAAGCCAATGCCTGAAGAATGCATAAATCCTAAAGAAAGCTTTGTGTACTGGTAAAAAGCCTTAAGCTTAACGAAGCGCTCTAGACAATAATCGAGATTGTATAATTGACCAATATTGATAAACTTAACCTAGTGACCGTTTTAAAAGTTTTGCCCTCCACTTTTCATCAAAACCAAGAAACTACTGATTTCCACTCAAGCACTTAGGAATTTACCTAGACAGCAGACTGACGGAGAAATCCCACACAAGATTTAAGAGACAAGTAATGGAAGACTTGGACAACTAAGAATACTTTTAGGACTTAAATCTGCTTTGAACGTCAAATACTTGAGTGCTTTGGACTTGTGGAGTGGAACTGTGGTCTTCCTCCAAAGTCCAAACCAACCACTATACACCGCAGTCAATCCTTCCAATCGAATGACCCCAATTTGTCCAAGCACCTAATTACGTCGCAAACTTCACCCTACCTTTTGTCAATTAACTGATCCACTTCCAAAAGTTTCACACAAAGTTCTCGATCCATCCTCACCCAATTGACCTTCCAACACTTTCCCACTCCGAGCCGCCTTAAAAAGATTGATTTTCATGCGTCCTCCGGGTTCAGTGTATGTAATGTAGACAATTAATTTGTACAGTCAATTTATTGACCAAACCTTTATGTTATCGTCAAAGATGATATAAAATTGGGTGACCTGGAGATCATACTGCTACAAGAAAAACAAAATATATCAAAGAGAGGAACAACTCTGAAGAACTCTTTCAACCTTCTTTATATTAACTTTCAGGAGGCACTTTCAGAAATAATTAACTACTTAGTTTTGATTTGTTGTTTGTAATTGCAGCATAAATTGAGCGACTATTCGTAAATATTTACGTTTTGAATAAGGTTGGATGAACAGCTTTCAAGAAGTGCGAAAAGGTTAATACTACAACAGTGCGAAGTACTTTTAGATAGACGGTTCAATTTTATATTTCTTTATAGAAGAATACAACAAATAAACACAAGTTGTGTACTTTTTCTCCGAGGGGGAGGTGCAACCGGAGAAATCAAGTCGGCTACCATTGATCCAATGATTGAATTAGACGTTAATCCAGTTTGCCTCTCCTGTTTATCCGTCTCATCTTCCAGTGCAAACATTCATAACTGATTTACTCCTGTGTTTTTCTTTGCTGGATCATGTTCTGATTGATTAGGCGAATGGGGATACGGAATCGATTGGAAACTCAACCGAATATCCTTAGAACGACTTCGTTTGGGGCTGTTTCGAGCTGAAGTGTCTTGATACCGTGGTAACAGATTTATTTTCAGTTTGGAGAATATAATTTTTTTTTAAATATAAAAGCTCTCAAAATATGCAAGTATATCGTTTTCTTAATTGGCCGTGGTAAAAATAAAAAATATGTAAAAATTATATAAGAATTCCCCGATTTAACAACCGTACGGTAATAAATTATTTCATTTTTTAAAATAATTACCTGTGTTTTGTTTATTATTTATCAATAAATTCGCAAAACCTTCTACTATTTCCTCTTATTTGCTTTTTTTGTACCATTTTGGAGCTGTAGAGTTGAAGTTCATCACATCATCTGTGATCTTCATGTCACCATTTTGTACAAGTCTGTACCGCTCTAGTCAAGTCTCGCCCAGTTCCCTTTGAACTTTTTTTACAACTTGCACTGTGTCTTAAGCACGGTCCTTTTGTTTACATTTAATTCGGCGTGTTTATTTCTTTTTTTCCATTCTATTATACGTTTGTCTTGGATTTACAGTAAGAGGCCACGTTCTGGTACCAAGGTCTGAGCAGAAAATCGTACAAATAATACAAACTATGTTGAATATTTCAAATAACTTAATAGTTTAGGATTTTTTTAAATCGTTTGTTTTCTTTGCAATCTCTAGTAAAATGGAAGTGGATTTTGGTTAAAACTTCAGAAAAAAGATAATCACCCAGTTCAAAATTCTGGAATTTTTTTCTGAAAGATCTTCAAATTTGACATTGAACAGTTTTGTTGAACTGATCGACCTGATTACTCAGTCAGTCCATTAATTCCTGGTTTATGTTTCGCTCAGATAGATTGTTCAGATTGTATGGGTACATAACTAAACCACTTGTTTTCAATATGGAAATGAAATATTTCAATTCTACAAAATATATAAATAACTATTCAGAAATCGTGAGATGCGGTCTGGAGGTCATCTCACGATTTCTGAATAATCATCGACTAACGGTCGCTAATCACCACACATATATAAATAACAACAAAATATATAAATAACGATATATTTAAAATATAATTATCATTGTCATTAAGCGACAAAATGTTTTCTGGTTTGTGATTATCATAATAATGAAAATATAAATACTAACTCTGACCTAATACCTAATTATCACACATAGAAATCTTCACAAGGTCAATCCATCTCTTAATAATATCATAATGAAAATATTATCTCAAATAATTTGATTTCCCCCATTACAATGTAGATAGTGCCCGCTTGTCGTTAAGGTTTATATAGCAGTACCAAGCAGATTAGTCCGAATTTATGGCGATTATGAAGATATTTTTAGCGTTTCTCCTCATTAGTGTAGCAAGGTGCACAATTGTGCATCTCTTTGAATGGAAATTTGACGATATCGCAAGGGAATGCACCTCATTTTTAGCACCATACGGATACACTGCAGTTCAGGTGATTTATTCATTAATTCTAGAGAAAGAAAATAATTACTTTTTGTAAAAAGAAATTATTATAAAGAAATAATTATTCTAATTAATAAGTGAAACAGAACAAACTCAAAATGCAAATTCAAGCAAGTTAATATAAAAACCAACAAATTAACATAGCTTAGTCTCAAAATTTTCAAGAATTCCTATTTTCCTTTTTTGTTATTTATTTATTGTTTACAATCTAACCTAAACTCAATTGTTTGTGTGCGAATAAGAAATAAATCTTGACTCATATGATGCTTTTGCCAATAAGTAGTTAAAAAACAATTTCAAAAAGAATACTTTTATTTTTTTCTAATATCTGGCTTTAAATATCAGATATCCTTACAATAGTTCAAATTATTAGTTAGTTGTAAGTAGTTATTTGCTATAGTCCTTTGTAGACAAAATCCACAATTGTTTCCAAAGTTTTGATGCTGTAATTTGGCGTTAAAGGTTTCTCCAGTTAATGAATATGCTGTTCTTGAAAACCGTCCGTGGTACGAGCGTTACCAACCTTTCTCGTACAAGATCATTTCAAGATCTGGGAACGAGGAACAATTCAAAAATATGGTGCGTACTTGCAGCGCCAACGGAATAAAGTAATTATGATCTGTTTCCTTTTTAAAACTTCATATTTTCGATTATGGATAATCTTGTGTTTTTAGGCAAATTCCAGAAGGCCTAGGCAATTTTTTTTTTAATATTCGTATTTATGTGAGAAATTGTTAATTTAATCCTCACATAAATCCTTCCATCATCTTGGCTTGTCAATCCTTGATGCGTTGGTCAAGGGACAACATAAAGGTTTATGTGAAGGGATTGAGAAAAAGCAAGATAAAATTCAATTTCCTCAAATGATTTCCAAAGTTTTGAAGCACTAAGCACTAAGCACTTGACTAAGCACTTCAAAACTTGTGAGGAGACGACTCAGAAAATGAAAATGTAAAATCTAACAAAAAAAACCTTCTGAAATTGGCTTAAAAAAAATACAAAACTAATTAATACTTTTAAAAAATCAATCACATCATCTATTATAAATTTTAAAATTAAAGCATCATTTTCGATAAATGTTTAATCAAAACTTCAATTGTTTTCCAGGATTTATGTTGATGTAATAATAAATCACATGAGCGCAACACTTCCCGTAAACACGAAAGGAACAGGGGGTAGTGATGCAGTTACAAGTAAAAAAAATTATCCAGCAGTGCCCTACACTTCGGACAACTTTCATCCCACATGCTCTATTAATAACTATCAAAGCACCACACAAGTAATCAAAATTTGTAATGTTTAGAGCGCTCTGATTAATTTTTTATTAACTTAGGTACGAAACTGTGAAATTGTCGGCCTTCACGACCTCAATCAAACCATACCTTATGTTAGGAACAAGATATTGCAGTATATGAACCATCTAATTGACTTAGGCGTCTCAGGCTTTAGGTAAATTGATTTTGACAATTTAAACTTGAGCTTTGAAGACGTTTTTAAATTTAAGAATAGATGCAGCAAAACACATGTGGCCTTCGGATCTTAAAGCTATATATAATAGCTTAAAAGATCTCAACCAAAATTTTGGCCATCCACAAGGCTCTAAGCCATTTATATATCAAGAGGTCATCGACGAAGGTAATAACATTGAATTAAAATTTTTAATTAAAAGTCTATGGCTTATAAATTTATAACTCAATGTATAGGTACTGGAGCGGTAAAATATACAGATTACAAAGACTTGGGACTCATTACTGAGTTCAAATACAGCGATGAATTAAGTAAAGCTTTTAAAGGAAAGAACAAATTAAAGTGGCTTAGAAACTTTGGTAAGTTATGTTTGACATAATTAAAAATGTTAACTATTGAAATTGCAAAAAATTTTGCATAATTTACACAAATGGTATTTTGACCATCACTGGGTGTCAGTGTTTGGGAAGTTGGAATGTACCAGCACATAGCTGAAACGAGTATGAGTAACATAACCCATAAGCATGGATCAAGCTGGGTCAACACGAGTTCACCAACTTTGTCATGTTATAAAATTAAAAATAGAAAATTTATGCTGATCGACTTTTTCTTAAACAAATTTTCAATTTCAATTTATTTATATTTATATAGGGGAACCTTGGAATTTCATGAACTCAAAGAGCGCCATAGTTTTCGTTGACAATCATGACAACCAGAGAGGCAATGCCATTTTGAACTATAAATCTCCAAAGCTCTACAAGGTGAAACACTAAAATCTACCAAATGACATGTTCAAACATTAATTTATTTTAAAGATGGCCGTTGGCTTCATGTTGAGCTGGCCTTATGGTACAAAAAGAGTGATGTCAAGCTTTGACTTCAAGCAGTTTAACGATGGGCCGCCACACGATGAAAACTTTGCTATTAAAAATGTCACCACCAACGCGGACCTGACATGCAACAACGGCTGGATTTGTGAGCACAGGTGGAGGCAGATTTACTCCATGGTGAAATTTGATAAAGTGACAAATGGTATATCTGGGTGTACAAGAAAAAAACAGCATGATTATGAAAGCGTACTGTTTTACAGGAACTCCTGTTACGGATTTCCAGGATAATGGCGCCAATCAAATATCATTTTGTAGAGGAAATAAAGGATTTGTTGCATTCAATGGAGACAATTTCAACATGAATATTAGAAGAAAGGTAGTTATTCATATTTCTAGCATAGCCAAAAATTATACGGTCGCAACCGAATTGGGACTCGGCTAAGTGAAAGGTCTCAGAATGCAAGACACAATTCGGATAAGGGAGTATGGCACTATTGGGACGAAGAGAAAATTAATGGAAAAACAAGACAATTTTGATTTCTACAAAATACAAATACTAAACATGAAAAAAAACAAATACAAACGCAACTTTTTAGAAATGGTTTACATTAACAGACACGAAAACAAAATTAATTACAGGACAGATACATACAAACTCAGCCAACATCATAAAACAAGTAAACTATTAAACCTTAATTTTATATTTCTCTTTCCTTCGAAATCATCCTTAATAATTAACTTCCTTTCCAATCAATTTAATAGTCTAAAAATGGCAAAAAAAAGGGAAAATTGGAAAGGTAGGTTGAGATGTGGAGTTGGTGTCCGAGTGGATGAAAGTTTCGATAGTTCAAGTGTTAGAGCAGCAGCGTATTGAGTCGAAGGTTGTGGGTTTGAATCCCACTCGTCATATCTTTCATTTCAACAAAGACCTTACATAAAAAAAAAATATAATACTGGACAAGGTTGAACATCTTAAACTTTCAGTATTCAGCTACTTAACTTAATAAACCTAATTAACAACGAATGTACATTAAATATTGCTAAGCCAATGCATTTGTCATAGGGTTATCAGCAATGACAGATGCCCCAAACCCTATCTGCAGTCTTAATTGATGGTAAGACCAGTTAATCTTAAGACAACAACTTTTTCATCTCAACCAGTGCCTTACATAAAAAAATAATTCCTTACCAACATTGAATCTAATTTAGAAAATCCTCATTCTAGACTTCTTTTGAGTTAAATAAAACTGCCTATGATCAAAGAAAATTTCCAATTTTGCGCGCACCAACAAAATTGGGTCAAAGAACTGCAACAACAATACAATAATAGTAATACGTTACATTTCATTCATTCATTCACTTTGACGAAGTGCAATTTTCACAGCACCTAATTTCCATTCTGAGACCTTTACCAGCTAAATAATGTATTGTTTATATTACAAATGTTAATATTGCAATAAAATTTCCATGCGTCCTAATTCCTTAGTATTAGCGTCCCAATCGTATTCACTTTTCGTCCCAGTCATTTGTCCCAATCGTTCTGCAACGTAATTTTTATTTAAAATAAATATTAAATTTAGGTTTGTTTGCCGAGTGGCACGTACTGCGATGTGATTTCTGGTCTCAAAGGTGAAAATAAATGCACAGGCAAGATGGTAACGGTTGACAAAGACGGTTTAGCCGACATCCAAATCAATTCAGACGAAGAGGATGGACTTCTTGCTATCCACACTGAGGTTAAAAATTACATTCAGTAACTTCAACAATTTTGCATTATTGTAAAACTATCATAACAAAAATTTTTATTTTTGCAGGCTAAACTTTCTACACAGAATGTTCTGGTATTTTAATTACCTGTTGTATAACATATATTTTTACTACCTAATTATGTAATTAGCCATTAATTTTATAAAAGTAATAATGATTTAAGAAATATGAAAATAAACACAGTTGTATGGTAAATGTCTTGTATTTTTTAGATTGTGTGTAGCGAAGAATTGTTTGATTATAAATAATTATAAGCGGAACAGAAAACCATTTCATACAAATATCTCTGCTTTTACTTTTATGTAAGAAAAATAAGATTTGAGTTTTTTAAAATATTTTATTAAACATTCAAAAAGTAATTAAAATTAAGAAAATAAGCAATGGGAGAGATGTCTTCCAAGGCTAAAGACTCATACAGACATTCTTCAACACAGCCTGCAAATAAAATTTTAAATTTGATTTAAACAATATATTCAAAATTAAGACAACAAGAATATAAAATGTAAACTCACTGAAACAAAAATAAACTGCTACAAGTCAATAAGGTTTTCTCCGGAAAGAACATCCTTCCGTAAGCCTAGCCCGGCCCCCTGTTGGCTGGCAGAGATATGTAGCACAGCGCGAGCAGATGACCCTACTCTGGGCATGGGAGAAGACCGTCGTTATGTTAAAACACCCAGGGCACTTCACATCCATAAAGTACGAGTTCGGGTGCTGCACAAGTCGTTTTAATTTGTGTTTCTTCTTCTCCTCGGCCGCAGGTGGATTTAGAAGATCAACCGTGAGAGGCATCTAAGACAAAAATTGTTACAGAAATTATTATATTTTCAACTCGATATAATTATAGCAGCGTATGAAGAAAATATCAATCCCTTGTACAATACACTTTTATTATTAAATAAAGCTAATGATCATTTATTCTTGAGTAGCTGATATTTGTATAGTCTTATGACCAAGATCAGTGCTTATTTTCTGATTTTCAATGTTAGAAGTATCAACTATTTTATCATTTCACTCACTAATACTCTGAATCAAAGTATCTTGATCCAGAGTTCTTATTTTCGGACTTCTTAGCATTGCTAGTATCCGATTGGTAGTCAGAAGGTCTACACCTATGTCATCCTGCTACTAGTGGCCTGGGGATTGAACGGTGATGATGCTGCCTGCGAAAATGTTTAAATGTAGCTCCAGCTGAAGATGTCTGAGCAGAATTATGAAGCGATTGGTACGGCATGATTTAAATTGCACTTCCACAAAGATCACACATGTCGGCAGTCAAACGCATCACATTCCAATCAGATACTGATCATAAGGAAGTGAAATGAAGAGTAGCCCGTGTGCGGACAGCCTTGAAATTTTTCTTGACTGCTCGAGAAGGAACTGTTTTTTATTGGTTAGGTTCCTATTGGTTTTTTATTGGAAATTTTCTTTCCAATCGGTCTTATCCCAGTAGTTTTTGAAATGTAAAATTAAAACATCACCATCAGGGCTAAAAAAAATTTTTTTTCCCTTAGCCACCTTGGCTTCGTGAAACTTTAATTGATATATTGAATTTTTTTTTTTTGTACAAATTGGAAAACACTTGGTGGAAATAAAATCACTATCAAAACAGGCAGAGGAGCATTCTACCATAAATTACTACCAAAACTGGAAAGTGCCAGTGATTCAGTTTTGTCCTCGTTAACCTTAATTTTTGAGCTTTTAGGTGTTACAATACAATTATCATTAATTAGGCCATTTAACCCATTCGGCATGGCTTTGTCGAGTTGAAATTTGGAATATCTTAGTTAAACATTAGTCTGAAGAAAAACGGCCTCGTGGCCTCAAAATTGCGGAATTTTCAGGCCTCGTGGCCTCAAAATTGCGGAATTTTCTTAATGTGGGGGTAGAAATTTAGACAAATAGAATTTTTCACAGTTAAAGGTGTTTGTAATTGTTCGTCTGATAAAAAGAAAGTAGTGTAAATAGTCTTGAGAAATTTAATAAAGTCGTTTTTTGGAGTGATTTTAAGGCGTTTCCTCCAGTTTACGGCCGCCATTGCAGTTTCCACGTGTACATAACCTAAGAGGGTCTTTTTTGCCTTTTAATTGCATCTTTTCTTTCTGCTTAATTAATAAATATTAGCTATTTAATATTTTAGTTCATCATTTAGATGTGTGATAAGACACGTATTTACCAACAATCAACTCATGGAAGCAACAAAAACGATCGAAAATAGGGCAATTTTAAACCGGTCCAAAACGTTGGACTTGACAAATTTGCGAATTCAAATTGCTTACTTTTTCGCTTAAAGTTATTTGTTGTAATCTGTAAACTTGAAAAATGTCTCTAAAGCCTACTGACCGTTGCAATCTATCTGGATCGTGATGGTTTCAGACGTTCCGCACTCCTCGGGGTGAAAAAATCTCAATTGCCAGGCGAGAAGAGTCCATAAATGAAGAGGGGCAAAGGGTAAGAGAGCATCCGAAACCGACACGCTTTCGGCACGAGAACAGCTGACAGAACCAAATTTGGAATCGTCACATGTCCCAGGTTCCTTACGACTTTCAAAAATAGCAGCCGTATCTGGTGTTGTATTTAAAAGGGTCGATTTTGGATTTTTTGCCGTCTTTTTCTCTCGCGCTTGAACCGCCATTCTTTTAAGAACTGTTAGGGCCGAATTTGCAAGCGGTCATAAAATTAATAATAAATTGTGTGTACCACTGGCCAAAATGTCATCTGGAACAAGACTTCAAAATTCAAATTAATTCCCTCTCCGATATCAACAACTACAAAGTCATACAATTAATAAAATAAAAAATAAATACTTTGTTAATAGACCAGCTCAAAAACAAGCTTTCTATTGATCAACCTAAATTTTAAGTATACACTTAAGTTTACATATTTTTTAGTAAAATAGCAAGCAAGTCACAAACAGACATTGTGCTCGTTTTCCGGTTCTTTTCCTTTTAATTCTCTAGTAACAACCTATTATTAAGTAAACATAGTTTTATATTGATGTAAGATAAATGTTCAGAATTAATATATATTTTGTTTTAGTCATACAATTTTATAGTTTATAGTTTTTCATTCTATATATATTAGTTCGTTCTTTATATATTACATAATTTATAATTTGAAATTACCTTCCATATTGGTCTGTCTATCGCTCTATGCCTACTGATTTTTTGTGAGTCAGACGCGTTTTGACATTTTCAATGTTAAATTTTTGAGTTTTAAGTTTGACATTTTCAATGTTATTTCTGTGTAGTTGTAGTTTTAAATAATAAGTTTTCGTGGGCTGTGTCGGTATTGTTTGTTGGTGTGTTTGATGGATTGAGTCGGGTTTTTTTAATTTCTAGTCGCTCTTTTTGATCTTCGGTCCTTTTCCTTTTTAATTTCTGTAAAGTTTTAAATGGTGCAAACGATGTTCATGATTTACTGTTTATTAGTGTATTTATAGTGTTGATTGTGTTATGTTCATTCATTTCTAAATTTTCGAGTATGTTCATTTTTCGTCCTTTTTTCGTACGTTGTAATGTAGTCCATTATATTTAGTGGTCTATTGTCCAAATTACATCTTTTAATTAATTAATCTTTTTATGTAAGGTTTTGGTTGAAATAAAAAGCTAGTGTCACGAGCGGGATTCTCACAGGATGTCACGATGGCTCAAGTGGTTAGAGCAGCGGCGTATTGAGCCGAAGGTCGTGGGTTCGAATCCCGTGACACTAGCTTTTTCATTTCAACCAAAACTTTACGTAAAAAGATTAATTAATTGTGATGTAGTTTGATACTGGTTTGTATTGCCGATGGTTCGTGGTTGTTTTGCATTGGGTGAGTCGCGTAATTCGATTTTCCGTCGTTATCATGAGCAATTTAATGTGTTCCTGTATTTGTCTTTTATTTTTCGTCCTGTCTGTCCTGTATTTTTTTTTTTCTAGTGGGGTCTGTGGGTAATTTTTCTATTGTGTTTATGATTTTCCGTGCTGTTTTATTATGCCTGATTTGTTTTTTGTACGTTTTTTTCCAAATGTATGTGATCGTGGTTCATTTAGTAGCTGTTTGTCTGGAGTTTTGTTTATGTATTTGTGTACTATGGTTTATATTATTTTTTGTTTTCTTACTTGTCTTTGGATAGTGAGTTTGATTTTAGTCTGTCCGTTCATGTATTTCAGTGCTGCAATTTTTTTCGGTGGTTTGATTAGTCTTTTATGATGGCTGTTTTTTTTATAAGTCAAGCGGAAGTTTGTCATTTTTGTGATCCGTAAGTTGAGGAAATTTATACTGTTATCTTATCTTACACTGTTATCTGTTGATATTTCTGAGGTGAATTGTATGTTCTCTTATAATTCTCAGGTCTGTCAGTATGTTGTTCATGCTATTGTTGTTGATGTCTACTATGGCGAGTAGTTTCTCATGAAAATGTTGTAAAAATGAATGTTCCTTAATATTGTACAATTGCTGTAAATGTTTGTCTTTCATGGAGCGATTGTCCATTTGTAAATAGATAAATATCGGGTTAGGTGGTAATTTTAGGTAATTTAATAATAGTTTAGGCGTTGACACGGCGCTCATCACTGTAAGGTGAAGGTCCCGGGTTCGAATCCAGCTGTCCTGCATTCGAACCCGACATACTAACACAAATTTCAAAAACACCGGCACCCTGAGGGTTTATATGACCTCTGCTGTTGCGAACTCTCTTTAAAAAAAAAAAAAAGACTTTTTCATGCATATTTTTCAAGGTTATTATAAAGCAGTTGATTTGGTTTTTAATTTAGGATAAGAAAATAATATTCAAGGTCGTATTAAATGAAAATTAGGTACATAAATAGATACAAAAACCAAAAGACGTCAAGCAAATTTTTTTGAAAAACGAATTCTAATTCATTTTAAGCACCCTTTAAAATTTTTAAATATTAATTTTCATAGGAAACAAAAAATAGACATTTTTGGCTAGATTTATTGGGGATATTTTTCTCGCCGATAACTTGTGTTCCACTATTTCTTAATACCTCTGGATTTTATTCAAATTCAAAGATATTACAACCGTTAGAAAATTTAATTTTTTTTATCTTTAAGCCTTTGCCAACAAAGCTTTGATTTTATACGTGATACAAATTAAGATGAAATCTTAAAGGTTTTATTTTATATCCACGGTTTATTTACGGATCGGTTATATTGTCTAACTCTCTTTAAAAATACCTATGAATTGTTGAAGTCGTTTCAAAGTTATCACCATGTTACATATTTTCGCAAAAAAATCGAAGGCAAAACATTGATTTTCCTAAAATTGTGAATTCAGTTTTTGTGGGGTGGAAAAACGAATACAGGACTTATATGAAATTTGCCATCAAATTTGAAATTTTGGAGAATTGAGGACTTATTCCTAACCCATTGTAGGATGAACCTACGTTTTTGGCAATTTGGTATGCCTCAGAAGGTTCAGGGACGATATATGTTCGTGTGTTATGATCGAACGTTCCTTGACCAATATGTGGCTTCTCGTCGCACTCTGCCTGGTACCCAAACAAGTGTAATTTTGTTTTTGTAATGTAATGTGTAAAAAAAGGCTCAGGGCTGAAAGACGTCCATCGAACATTGGTCAATTTATCTATACTTTATCTATTGGTGTACTCGTTGCTTCTCTTTATTTGCACAGGCCTGTCTCTGCTGCTCCGGGTCTATACATATGCCCCACGGAGTCTGCAATGTCCAGACAGTAGTTCTACAATCATTACAGTCCTTACAAGTCTTAGCTTTAGTATTTGTACCATTAGTTTTTACGATGGTCCTTTAATGAACTTTTGCGCATCTGTCCTCGAATACATTCCCATTGAACCGCCGAATTACTCTTAATCCGTTTTTTGATGGATCTTACGTTTTTGGCAATTTGATATGCCTCTAAAGGGTTCAGGGGCGATATGTGTTCCGCTCGAACTTTCCTTGACCAGATTCTCAATGTACTCTGCTTTGTTTGCCCTGATACCCAAAACAAGTGTAATTTTGTTGTTTTCGCAATGTCTAACTGGGCCGATCGTGTGGCATTAATTAGAATAAATTACCATGGCAAGAAGTTGAAGGATCACCTTCGAAAGGACAGATGATGTCCTTTTTAATTATCCAACGACCAAACCACAAATCAGCAGCATACAAGACTACCGAAAAGATGTTGAACCACGAAGGACCGGCCGAATTACCATAGTTTCACTTCACCAAACACCCTTAATGCACTATAGTATCATTTTTTAAAGTCTTTCTCCAAGTTAAGTTTAAGAACTAGGCTTCAACAAATGACCAAATGTAACAAACGTTTATACCGATGCTTTGCAGCATTAATAATTGTATCTACAGTTTACCCTATTTTAAAAATATAGGATTATCATTGTGAAGTTTGTATTTCTATTGTTTAGCGCCTCGATGTAATCGTACCAATACGTCAGAAAATTAAGGTGCTAAAGTGCCCTCTACCAAGCACATCCCTACACTGTACTTGGTATAATTACAGTTCTCTGTGTAACCATCCCTATCTGTATTCTGTAGTCTGTACTCTGTTCTATTCAAGATCACGTGCTCTCCTTACCGCCACGTGTCGTTGAACTCTTACAGGTTTACAGCTATACCAAAACACAAGGTAATTTGTCATCCGTGAACGTTCACATTTTCCCGCTTATTATAAAATGTTAACAGTGTCAAACCGAAACGTCTTTTTTTAAAGATGAATTCGTCCGGGGATTGCGGAATGTACCAGCCAGTAGACGAAAGCTTCTCGACGAAGGCGATTCACCACGGTCAAGACCCAGACCAATGGTCTTCTGGCATTGTCATTCCCCCCATCCACATGGGTACAACTTTCAAGCAGGACGCCCCTGCAAAGCACAGGGTAAGCTACTCGACAACTTTTTTTGTTGGTATTTCGAGGGTATTTCAACTAACCCCTAACCATCCCTAAGCCATATCCTTAAGGGTCATTTAAAAACAAAAATAATAAATTGAAATAAAGCTATAGTTTAGTTTGAATGTTTTCTCCATAATCTTGTTCATGAATATTATAAGATTTAATGTGCATTGACAACTGTTTGATATGTCAATAATAAATATATATCTAAAGTATTATTTTGCATAACTATATATTGCAAAAAAATTATATTTTCTCTTTTTTTTATTGCTAAGTCCTTTTTAATTGTTAATAGATTGTTTAATTTTTGGAACACATCGCAGCAGGCATTATTTATTATTTTTAGAACGTTTTGATACCCACAAAGTGTCCTCTTCAAAGTCAGATATTTATTAGTACAATAGAATCTTTTCAATGCATCTCGTCTTCCATCTGTTATGACCCTACTTTTCCCAGGTGATTTAAAAATATTGAAAATGATTATTCGGAGATCGTGAGATACGGTCTGGTGTTACGTAGGTTTTAGAAAAACATTTTCTTTATCATGGCCAACGTTTCAATCTTTATTGAGATCATTTTCAGGGCCAGGGATTTATAACCGTTTGAATATTACAAATACATGTAGGATGTGGAAAAAATTATGAATTTATACAATGCTAGAAAATTTTAGATTAAAAAAAAATGAATTTATACAATGCTAGAAAATTTTACATGTATATATACATAAAACAACAATATCTCACTGGCACTCTCAACATGACTCACAAGAATGACACATCTACACGGAAAACAAATACTTTGAGTGAGTACGAATACTTTGATTGAATCTAAAATTTTCTAGCATTGTATAAATTCATTTTTTTTTAATCTAAAATGTTCTAGCATTGTATAAATTCAATTTTTTTTAAAATCTAAAATTTTCTAGCATTGTATAAATTCAATTCTTTTTTTTATCTAAAATTTTCTAGCATTGTAAATTCAATTCTTTTTTTTAAATCTAAAATGTTCTAGCATTGTATAAATTCAATTTTTTTTTAAATCTAAAATTTTCTAGCATTGTATAAATTCAATTCTTTTTTTATCTAAAATTTTCTAGCATTGTAAATTCAATTCTTTTTTTAAATCTAAAATGTTCTAGCATTGTATAAATTCAATTCTTTTTTTTAATCTAAAATTTTCTAGCATTGTATAAATTCAATTCTTTTTTTTTAACTAAAATTTTCTAGCATTGTATAAATTCAATTCTTTTTTTTTTTTTAAATCTAAAATTTGCTAGCATTGTATAAATTCAATTCTTTTTTTTAATCCAAAATTTTCTAGCATTGTATAAATTCAATTCTTTTTTTTTTAACTACAATTTTCTAGCATTGTATAAATTCAATTCTTTTTTTTTTTAACTAAAATTTTCTAGCATTGTATAAATTCAATTCTTTTTTTTTTAACTACAATTTTCTAGCATTGTATAAATTCAATTCTTTTTTTTTTAACTAAAATTTTCTAGCATTGTATAAATTCAATTCTTTTTTTTAAACTAAAATTTTCTAGCATTGTATAAATTCAATTCTTTTTTTTTTAACTACAATTTTCTAGCATTGTATAAATTCAATTCTTTTTTTTTTAACTAAAATTTTCTAGCATTGTAAAAATTCATTTTTTTAATCTAAAATTTTCTAGCATTGTATAAATTCAATTTTTTATCTAACATTTTCTAGCATTGTATAAATTCTTTTTTTTAATCTAAAATTTTCTAGCATTGTAAAAATTCATTTTTTTTAATCTAAAATTTTCTAGCATTGTATAAATTCAATTTTTTTTATCTAAAAATTTCTAGCATTGTATAGATTCAATTCTTTTTTTTTTAATCTAACATTTACTAGCGTTGTATAATTTCATTTTTTTAATCTTCATTTTCATGACAAGTTGGTAGGTTTCTGTCACCGTTTTTTCCAATTTTTTTAAAGGTGGTAATTAAATGGGCAATGGATAGTATAAAAGCCTATTATTTGCCTTAATACCTGCTGACAAAGAGATAGAAGTTTGTTTTCGTGGTTGAGATATTAATAAACTTCTTTGATTGTTTTGCGCCTAGATTAATTCAGCGTATTCATTTTTTTCTCCATCCATTTGTTCAGTTCCGCTTTTAGCTTTGTTTGTGGTGTACCGATTGGCTATCCTGGACCAAGGGATTGAAGGTTCCTCCTGATTTTGCTAGTGTGCCTATTTGGTATCTTTAGCCCCTCGTGTTCTGACACCCGTATCAGAGTTACTTGATTTCGTTTTCACAGAAGTTGGAGATATGTTGCGCATATCATGACCAGCTTTGAGTTGAAGTTTGAATCAGAAGTCTTCAATGCTGTTTGGCTGTCTGAGAATATGCATAGATAGATAGTTAGAGGTAGATAGATACTTTTATTTACAACAAAAGAATAAAGATTACTACAAAAAATCAATTTTTAACTGTTTCAAGCATGGATTAAAACCATCCGTTGGAATGTAATGCAATGTTCTGTTTTTTACCTGTTTCCTTTTTTTTTTATATATTTTGCATATTTGCTCAGTTAAACTCTTCAAAATTACTTCATGTTAAGATTACATTTATCGCAAGCCTACAAAATGGCAATAAAATAATTTTGAAATATAATTCTACAATGCTAAAGTAAATAACAAGAGCTTAAACTTAAATTTGTTGTAAAATGTTATAAAATTATTACTGATTATATTTTGATTTGCAGGGATTTGAATATGGGAGGAGTGGAAACCCATCGAGAGCTGTCCTCGAAAAATGCCTAGCGTCGATAGAAAATGCGAAGTACAGCTTAGCTTTTGCTTCTGGGTTGGCAGCAGTCAACGGCCTTTGTGCCCTTCTAAAACACAATGATCACATCATCGCCGGAGATGACCTTTATGGCGGGATGAACAGGTAATGTTTTAAAATATACAATGCTACATCATATACGAGTTACACAATTGTTTTAGGTATCTCAGAAGAATTGCTTCAAATATGGGTTTGGAAACATCATTCGTTGATACGACTCAGCCCGACTTAGTTGAAAAAGCTATCAGGCCAAATACAAAGGTTGGTATTATTATTTTTTTTTTAATAAAATTTTTTCCCAGGTGAGCTTGTATTTTTCAAGCAATTTATGTTTATAGATGCTCTGGGTAGAAAGTCCGACGAATCCTTTGATGAAGGTAATGGATGTACCAGCTCTGAGCTTAGTCGTTAAGAAAACGAAGCAGGATATTATTTTTGTAGTTGACAACACTTTCCTGACACCTTATTTTCAGGTATTTTTTAATTTCAAAAGTAGGGCAAGTCCTTTCATAAAGCATGGGCTACTGCTTCTTCACATTACTTAATAAATAATTTCATAATAATCATTAATTATTCTAATCTAATCCTGGCAGAGCCCATGGTTTTTTAATTGATAATACAGTGAAACCTCTCTATAATGCAAAAAAGATGTGTTTTTGTCCGTTATTGAGGGGTTAAGGAGGGGTTTAAAAAAAATCAAGATAAAGGTTATGTTGTACATAATACATAATATTGTTTATCTTTCAATGAATCATATAAATAAATCAAAACATATATGTTAACAATTAAAAAGTAAACAAAAATGTCTTAGTTGGTTTGTAAACTTAGATAGACATTTCATCCTTGTGATGTATTCTTAATTTGTTAGCCACAATAATTCAAAATTTGTCTTACTTTATAAGCATCCAAAATAGTGGGGACCCTGATGACTGATTCACATTTGCCACACTAGTAGTTCTGGGTTCGAATCCAGCAGCCCTGTATTCGACCTGACATACAAATGGGCTTTTTTCAAAATCACCGGCGTCCCGAGGGTTCATATAATCACGTATTTGAAATATCACTTGGGGGGAGGGTGTATTATTACGCGCTGCTAGCCTAGCTTACCTTCCTAAAACATTTTGGACTTAATTTTTTAAATGAGTTTAGCAAATATTTCTTCATATGAATATTTAATAATTTTTATTGTTTACATCCATTTTAAAGGGGTGAATTACTCTGATGGGGACTGGTAGCAGGTGACCGGTATGGAGGAGTTCCCTTTATAGAGGTGTAAGCGGACGACGGCGCGGCGGCCGAATTATCTCTTGATCTTCGCTTGTTTTTCTCTAAGCGACAAGAGATTAGTTGGCATAAGCGCGTCGCTACTTATTCTTGTGTAGGGGAAGGTAAGGTTCCAGAATTCAATAAACCAGAGACAGTATTCAGTAACATTTATTGTACACAAGTCCTTCTCTTAATCTTAAAAACCTCGGAATCTTACTTAATCTGCAAGTCAGCCACAACTCTAAATCTGGGATGAGTCTATCAACAAAGGGACTTACCCCAAACGATGCTCGCCACGATCAGTGTCCACAACATCTCTTCTCTCGACCTCTGACTTGGCTCGATGGTCGCAACGGCTGGTCCTCGCTGGCTCTGGCTGGCTGAGTCCTCTTGTTGAATCCCAGACGGAGTGTGGCTGCTTCTCTCCCGGTCCTCGGTCTTGGCTCACTGGGGTGAGTCTTGCAGCTTGACTGTTGACTGTCTGCCTCACTGATTTTCCAGTCATCCCATTTATACCGGGTCTCTCCCGGGGTAGGGGTGGAGAGGAAACTCAAAAGTCGGGGGGAGATCTCACACCGCGGCGGGGCCGAAAAAGACGGCGGTCTAGCACAGCGTTGACGTATTCCCAATTTACGATGTCCTCCTTTCTTACCTAGCTGTCTACCTGGGTAACCATGTCTAAGCTTCCCATCTGGGCGGTGCCCCTTCAAAGGACAACCTTTCCTCGTTTACCTATTCTGTTCTTATTTTACAATTTAACTTATTGCTAAGACGGGGGCTGGCTTACAGAGGGGTTTAAAATGTTTAGAAATAGTATCTTTTTTTGTGCCAGGGAATGCAAAAAGTGTCCGTTCAGAGAGGCATTTGCTACATAGAGGTGACTGTTAAGAGGAGTTTCATTATTCATAAAAAATGTATTATAAATTGGCTTGCCCCCTGTGTTGGCAAAGATGGGAGGGGGGCAAAATTGTGGGGCAATTTTTCCTCTACTCGATACTGGAGGACCATAGTTAAAAGGACTCTGAGTAGGGGGTGGGGTCTTTGTAAGAAAAAAGGTGTATTTTCATAATTTTCAATCCATTGCATACAAAACAAAACAGAAAAATATATATGTATTCTTTGTAATGCTGACACATTAAAAAAGAAATTATAAAATTAAAGAAATCAGCCACCACAATAAAACAAACTAAATTCAATTGGATATAAAAGTCCAGACAACCAATAAAATGTAAGGCTTTACCAATGGAAAATGAGAACGAAATGTAAAGGGATAAAGGTTGAGCAGTATGCGCCAATGAGAACTAGCAAGTGGGCGAGATGAGGACGACGAGTACAGTTTTGAACATTTAACTTCCTTTCCTGTGAAACAGCCTTAGCCAAGCGACAGTAGAGTGTATTAAAAATCCCCTGTTTTTATTGAGTGACTACAAATAGAAAATCCAAAATTTGGAGTGGTGCGAAGAAATAAAAAAGAGCTGGGTGAAATGCGTGTATATCAGGGTGAAGAATGACTTGTGACTCACCAAAAATGTAAACAAGGGTTTATCAGCTGCAACTGATTAACTCCCGTCCTTTGGTGAAGCTTTATCATCATATTTATTTAGAAATCGTGAGATGCGGTCTGGTGTGATGTAGGTTTCAGAAAAACATTTTCTTTATCGTGCCAACGTTTCGATCTTTATTGAGATCATCTTCAGGGCCTGGGATTTACAAACATTGTTTACATATAACAATTACATTTTGGATGTGGAAAAGTGAATTTATACAATGCAAAATATATTTTTTATATATTCAATCAAAGTATTTCTACTCAAAGTGTTTGTCTTCTGTGTAATTGTGCCATTCTTGTGTGTCGTGTCGAGAGTGCCAGTGAGATTTTGCTATTTTGTGTTTATATACGTTGGATTTTGAAGGGGTGGGAAAGGATGTCAGTATAGAAAAGACATTTTTGTATAAGGCGTAGGCTTCTTTGAGATGAAAAGAGCCGACGAAGAGAAACAACGTGTTGGAAATGGTTCGGCCAGATTATCCTTTCAGGATTATATAGAAAGGGATAAATAGGAAAGGGAAAGCTAAATTGTTGGACAATTAGACTATGAAAAATATTTGATGTGTGGAATGTAATGATATATGTATGTTATCTGTATCGAATTTGATTAATGATATTGGCGTAGCTGCGACTGAGTTTTCATGTATCTGTTCTGTAATTGATGCTGTGTTTATCTCTGTTGATATAAACCATTTCTAAGAAATTACGTTTATGTTTGTTTTGTTCTGTATGTAATATTTTTTGATTTTTGAAGTCAAAATTGTGTTGGTGTTTAAAATGATGGGTAGCGAGTGCTGTAGGATTTTGCTTGGGTTTTTTGCAATCATAGATATGCTGCTTTACTCTGTAAGAGAGATGTAAGACCGATGTAAGTTGCCGGACAGTTTAAAAAATTGATTTTGTAGATTACGTCAGATTTATTTGTTATTGGTGTGGGATCTTTAATTTTGGAAAAAAGTGTTTGAATTGTTTTATAATTTTTGAAAGCTATTTTGAAGTTATCAGACAAGAGAAATGTGTTTAATTTGTATGATAGGCCTTGGATAAATGGTATGGAAATGTATGCTGGTTTGTTTGTATTCGATAGACTTAATGTAATATTATTAATATTAGTGGATGGTGTTATTGTTGAGTTGTAATTGTTGATTATTCTGTTAATTATGTGTTTAGGGAAGAGATTGTTATGTTTATCATCATACTTATACAAATATTTTAAATTATTACTGTATTAAAAAATAAAAAATAAAGAACAACAAATTTTCTGCCGAGAATTTGTCTGTGACACTCAATGGGGTAGTTACTTGACTTTACTTTTACTATAATCCTTTTTCACAATTCTCAAAGAAAATTCCAATTGAATGGAATTGAGCCTGGAACTGCTAACATGGCAGATAGAAACTTTCAACTGGCTCCCCTAAAAGATTATGAATTTGTAGCATTGTACATCTGCTTTCTAACTATTTATCTGTGTAATTTTCAAACATGTATTCTGGTTATTAACTACCGTGTGTGTGCGTTATTTGTGAAAAAACATCATTATGAACTGTTTGATTACATAAACAACCAAACTGAAATGTATGACAAACAGTTAACTACATATTGTTTCTGCCAACATCGGTTACAAATAAAAATCTGAAGTTTTCTTTAAACTTTCAAACAAAGCAATTAATTAAGGTTTTTAGTTGAGATGAAAAAAAGTTAATGGCTCGAGCGGGATTCAAACCCATGATCTTCGGCTAGATACACCGCTGCTTCTTGAGTGACCTCGATCCACTCAGACATCAACTTCCTATCTCAACCCCACCTCTTGAGTTTTCCCACCTTTTTGCCATTTTTCAAATTATTTTAGTTCAGATAAAAACCTTAATTAATTGTAATGTATTAATTGGTCAAGCGGACCACGAAATTGGTGGGGTTGAGATAGGAAGTTGATGTATGTCCGAGTGGATCGAGGTCACGATAGCGGTAGTAGTGGTAGTGGTAGAGCAGCGGCGTATCTAGCCGATCATGGGTTCGAATCCCACTCGTGCCATTAACTTTTTTCATCTCATCTAAAAACTTTAATTAATTGTAATGTATTAATTGGTCAAGCGCACCACGAAATTAGTGAATTTCAAACAGAGTTTTAACTTAATGTATGTTCACCTTATTGACCTTGAATATCCACACTAGCATATAACACAATTAATATTTACGTTTCTGTTGAACCAATATATTTTCAGAGGCCTTTAAGCATGGGAGCTGATATAGTTATGTACTCACTGACGAAATATATGAACGGTCATTCGGATATTATAATGGGCTCGGCTGCGACAAACAGCGATGAGCTTAATGAAAGGCTGCTTTTTATCCAAAACTGTAAGTTTTCTGGCAAAAGATTAAGATTGCATATTAATAATTTTGTTTAGCAATGGGAATAATCCCTTCGCCCTTTGATTGCTACATGGTCAATAGGAGCTTGAAGACCCTCGCCGTCAGGATGAAGGAACATATGAAAAATGCCATGGAGGTGGCGGAATACCTTGAAAAGCACAAATACGTCGATAAAGTGATATTTCCTGGGCTCAAGTCGCACCCGCAACACGAGCTGACCAAGAAGCTCTGGTCAGGTGTGTCGGGAATGATGTCGTTTTATATAAAAGGAGGCTTGAACCAAAGCAACACATTTCTTTCTTCTCTCAAAGTCTTTACTCTGGCTGAGTCATTAGGAGGTTTTGAATCTCTAGCTGAATTACCGTAAGTTTTAAATTTAAAATATTGTGATGTTTCTGTCTAAAGATTATTTTAAATTTTTAGGAGTGTCATGACACATGCTTCAGTACCATTAGAACAAAGAATCAAACTTGGCATTACTGATAATCTGATTCGATTGTCTATTGGTCTTGAAGCTGCCAGTGATCTTATTAATGACCTTGAGCAAGCGTTAAATGCTGCTGCTGCCAGTGGTTAAAAACATACAAATACACATTAATGTACTGTGTGTACATTTTTGTGTGATGTTTATGCAAACATTTAATAATATTGTTATTGGTTGTTTTAATTATTAATTAAGTAGTTTTCAATTTTAATCTATTTTTTCTGTCTATTATAAACAATATTTTATACACATTGTTATTATTGCAATATAATAAATTCAAAAGAAAATTATAAATTAAAAACAGTTTTTAATGCACTTTAATTGTAATAATTTTCAATCAAATATAAAAAGAAAAAACTGATATTTTCATTAATTAATTTTTTTTAATATTGAAGGATGTGATATTATGACATATATTTAAAAAGCAGCTTTAGTTTATTGTTGGTTTATGTTACTTATGATGAAAATTGTTCATTTTGCTACATTTTTCATTATTCATTTTATTTTGATGTTTTTTTTTCTCACCCCCCTTAAATGAGGGTTCGCAACAGCGGAAGTCATATCGACCCTGCGGGTGCCGGGGTTTTTTGGAAAAAAAATTTTTTTGTAAGACAATATTGCGACCAAGTTATGTGAGGAAACCTCTAAGTTTTTATAACATACAAAACAGTTCTCTGTACAACCATAGCATTTTTATAAACTTTAATTAATTTTTATAATAAATATTTCAAAAAATACATAATTGACCATAATTGTGTTTAATATGTTTTCCCTTTCCATTATTGTGATTGTAAATAAGTAAAGTTATTCCTGTCATACTGGAGGTCTTAATAGAAATGATGAAGGTGGGATGAGCATGCAGGTTCACTTTTTGTAAGTGATGAGCTTTAAGCTTGAAATCCGGATTGTTGTAAACAACAAAATCTTTTACAAGAATTGAAAGGAGAATTGTGACCAAGAGGGCTGAACCACTTTACAATACTTTTTCATATTATTCTCAATTAATTAGTAAGATTGATGTCTTCTATAATTTTTTCATGAATGTCCGGAGAGGAAGGCAACATCGATTTGCTACATGAGGGTGGTTCCGAAGTCTGAAATCCCTCCGAAGATGTAGGAAATTTTTGTTGAGCAATGTTCCTTATAGCCTCACAAAACGCTGTTTTATTATCCTCTGCACAAAATTTTTCAGCTTCTTGTGTGATAGAATCTAATAAAGTGGTTACTGTACTCTGCAACTTTTATAATTGTGAGATGATTTATTTTTATTTTTACCCATTGTAATTTAGTTAAACTATAAACAAAAAAAATGAATGGAAATTTTAAAATATGAATATAATACAAAATAAGATTTTAACTCCCTAACAACCAATGATAAATGAAAATTTTGGAATATGAATATAATGCAAAGTAAAATTTTTAACTGTTTAAATTTTAACCTAATAAAAAATAATAAATGGAAATTTTAGTGAATGAATATAATACAAGGTAATATTCTAAATGTCTAACAAAAAAATATGTTTTTAATGAAATAATTCTTAAATTTGTAAATAAATAATTAAATTATAAAACCTTCAATAATATTACTTTTTTATTTGCACGTGTGAAAGTATCGCTCGCTACCAATATTTATGACGTGTCAGCGTGAATCCCCTTCACACGATGCAAACTCGTTTCCTTGCGAGTGTAAAATAAAAATGAGAAAAAATATTTTTGCCACAAACTCAATTAAATTAAACAGAAAAGACAAAAATCAGGACCTGATCCCAAAACCTTCAAAAAAAAAAAAAAAAAAAAAAGTATTCAGATTTGAAAAAAATATGTGATCTTTGATATACGCAACTAACTCCTTGCCATTTACATAAAAAGAGCCGGTGTCTTCAAACAAATTGAGAGAGAGCCCTTCCTCATCCTTTGGTGGCTCAGCTTGCACTGCCCGAGCCTGCGGTAGGGGATTAGCTTATCCTTTGAGATAAGCTCCACATTTAAAAAAATATTGTTATAAAATCCAGGGCTGTGCTAGGAGTTGAACCCAGAACCAGCATGGCAAATATGAGTTGGATGAATTTATCACTTGGCTACTCACTACTACCAACTTAAAAAAAACGAGTAATTTCTGTTGCATGTAGGGCTTAATGTCCAACTACCCTTTGGCCACCACAAGGGGTCAGAGCCATTTACAATACTTTTATCATGTTTTCAATTAAAAAGCCATGGGTTGTATTGGGAATCGATCCCAGAACTGATGTGGTGAATATAGCCAAACACCCTTATTACTTAGCCAACAGTTTGGGTTTCATAGGTTAAGTTTAACAATATGCTAAAGTATAAGTCTCTTTATGGCTGCAACATGACCAATAATGGTCTATTATGGAATCTGTAGTAGTATTAAGTGCTTTTTATTAAGCTTAAGGATTTTTATTACATCCCAAAGGTTGTTAAGTGTTCCCATGTTTATCGTACAGGTTTTGTCTTTTTCTCTCCCCAGCCTGAATTTCAGCCTGCATAGACTTTGAACCAACAAAGGATATGATCTGCTGTTTCTTCTTTTTCCTGGCAATGTCTGATCTTCTTTCGCCTGTTTTGAGTTTATAGATTTGCCTTCAGAGTCTACAGTGTAAAATAGCGGTTTTACTATCATCAGCTTGGCTTTGTCTCTCCCAGGAGTCTCAGCTTGCATAGGTTTCTCACCAACAGAAGACATCTCCCGCGGTTTGTTCTTCTCCCTGGCAATATCTGCGGTTATTTCTGCTGATACAAGTTGATATGCCTCCGGAGTGTGCAGTGTTCCATCAGCAGTCCTAATACAATATCAATGCATGTATAAAATGAATGAAAGAATAAATAAACATCCCAATACAAAGTAGTGTTTTAGTTGAAACCTAGGCAAATAGACAATATGACCCTTGTTAATTTTTAAGATTAAAACCCACCACTGATGATGGTACGATGCTGATATGGACCTGAAAAATCAAAACAATGAAGATCGGAAACGATTAAACTACATTTTTGTGAAATTTCTTCCACTGGTGTGTGGGGTGATGAACCTGTAATTTGATTGTTACTGATCATCTTGATTTGCCTATCCTTCTTGAGTTAGTCTGTCAAACATGTTTATGTCTGGGTGATTTTTTGTGCAGTTTTGAAGTTAATTTACTACTACTACTCACTTGAGAGAATTGACTGCACAAAAATCACCAGGCCCAACACCAATGGCAAAATGCTATAATTAGGATTGTTTCTAGATTAGTTCTAGATGAACCACTTGACTAGATTTTGGTAAACATTGATTCTTCATATGAAGGATGAGCTGAATCTCCCACGAGTGCTCCTAGATGGATTAGAAATAGGTCGAAGAGGCATTTTGTAGTGATCAGAAGTTGTGAATTTCTTTTCATGTTCTTTCACTACAGTTTTAACCCAGTTTTGGCCCATGATCATTGCTAAGCAACTAACCCTCCATTCGATGCAATAGATCCATATGACCATATCACCAAATATTAACACTTTTAAGCCCATTTCTGATAATATATGCAATTCTTTGAAAGGGATACAACGCTATATTGTTTGATGTCTAGTTAAGGTTAGGAAATGTAATTAAAACAGGCCATTTTCAGCTTTGATGCATTTATTTCAATAATTTGCAATGTGTATGATACCAAAAACATTCATTATTTGCATTATACTGTTTAGTCTGCTGTAGTATCAACTTGATTTTCGACAGACGGTAATTTCAGGAGAAGTAATCCTTATTAAAAATATTACATTATAATATAAGAGTAAGTAAAGTAATTTTTGTCATTTGGAATGCTTAACATCCAACTAAAATTGGGTGTTGTAAAATTTAATTGTTTATGTTATATTAACATTATCCTAGATTAGTGTGTAATAACTACTAATAATAATTTATATATAACTAATAAGTTATTACACACTAATAATCTAATCTTAGATAATTGCTAATATAGCATGCATAAATCAGACTGTACTGTGCACATTCTTGCATATTGCATTGAGCTTATAAATATCAATAATTGTTAATTAGTTATTAAGGAGTTTCTATTTCTGAATTCTTCGTTATTATTGTAACCTTCTAAAGGATTTTATTACGTACACACTTGTATGTTGTATTACCAAATGCTAAATATGTAAAGTCAAAATGAAGTCAAAAGGCACTTTAAATTTAGATAGGCAATAATTCTACACCCTTGGGGCAAAACTGGATAAGTGAAATTTTGGTAAAACGAGATAAGTGCAAATTCCAGTAAGTCTTTAGTCCTGACAGACTGAGGCCATGTAAGATGTTTCATTAGTTGTATTTTTTTAATGTAACCTTTTTCGATTTTGTTGTCCTTTTTCTATTTCAAGTTGGATATTTTCTGTTGGAAATGGTAAAAAACCTTTTTAAAATTTACTCACTTTCAAGAAAGCCTATTAACAAAGAAGTGTTAATAATTTAATGCCATTAAAGTGTTAATGATAATAATACGATTAAATCACATTTTAAATTATATATTTGGGTTCTCAATTAAACTTGTAACAGTTAAAAATTAAATATTGGTAGATTATTTTTGATTTTTTTTTCATTCCAACAGAAATGTAATTAATTGATTGAGTTAGAATAAATTTTGGAAAATTTGAAGGTGGAATTGTTTTAGTTTTGAGCCGTGTCTTTTTTTTAAACATAGTTGTTAATATTAATTTGTGACCTCGCCTACATTTGACTGAAAATATTGAATTTAAAATAGAAAATTTGTATTGGCATTGATTTATGAATAATTGAATTCAGTTTAGAAATGCTAGAATATGTTTTGGAAAAAAAGTTTTGAAGAAGTGTAATGGGGTTTTGAAAAGTTCAATTTGATCATAAAAAGGTTAAATTTTGTTTTTGATTAAATTAAATTTATGAAAAAGTTTATTTTTTTATTTTTTGAAAAAATTCAATCAGATATGGAAAAAATGAATTTGCTTTTGATAAATTTCTATTTGTATTGGGAAAAGTTAAATTTGGTTTGTAAAATGTTAATAGTCTTGTAAAAAGTAGTTTTTCTTGGAAAAAAAATAACATAAATATACAAATTGAATTTTTTTGCTAGAATTACGACTTGATTGGAATAAGTTCAATTTAACTTGGAAGAAGTACCTACAAACTTGTTTAAACAAAAGTTAGATTTGATTTGGCAAATGTTCATTCAATTGTACAAAAGTCTGTTTTATTAGGTAAAAAAGTCCTGTTCGATTTGAAAAAACATTCAACTTGGTTTGAGAAAAATTACAGTTTGGTATGAAAAACAGTTCAATTTTTTGTTTTAAAACCATGTACATGAGCCATTTTTATCTTATTTATTTGACAGTTTATATTTATTTGATATCTAAATTTAACTGAAAATGTCGAATTTAAAAAAGAAAAAGTTGAATCAACATTGATTTATGAAAAATTGAATTCAGTTTAGGAATTCAAATTAAAAATATTAGTATTTCTTTTAGAATAAGTGTAATGTGATTCCTGAGAAGTTCAATTTAATCTCAAAAGAGGTAAATTTTGTTTTCATATAAGTTAAAATTAGTTTAAAAAAAATTTCTATCAGGCTTGAGAAAAGTTCGATTTCGTTTGAAAATATTAAATAAGTTTGAAAAAAGTCCACTTTGCTCTGAAAAAATAAAACTACGACTTAAATTGGAATAAGGCAATTTTGCTTGGAAGAAGTACAAATTTATTTTAAAAAAAAGTTCAGTTGTACTCAGAGAAAGTTCGTTTTTATTAGGTAAAAGTCTTATTTACTTAAAAAAAAGGTATAATTTGGTTTGGGAAAAAGCCAAAATTGGTGTAAAGAAGTTCAATTTTTTGACAGTTGATAATATTATTTTGTGATCTCACCTAAATTTGACTAAAAATGGCGAATTTGAAATAGAAAAAGAATTGAATTCATTTTGCAAATATTGAAAAGTTCGATTTTTATTTGGAAACTTAAGTTAGATAATAAATATTATACATTAAGGTAAATTACCGTAAAATAAAAATACCACTCAGGAAAAGATAACAAATGCAACAAATGAGATGGATTTTTTTTTACAATAACATTGGAACAACATAACGTAACAAACAACACAAAAGTTTCAGCTATGTCATAACATTTTCAATAAATTAGCCATGAACAATGATCATTCGAGGGGGAATACACACGTTGTTTTTCGTTCGTTTATACTTTAAATGTCGTGTTCATGGTTTTGCTTCATTTTGTGTTATTTTGCGGTGCAAATCTTTTTTTAGAAATTTAGCGTTTTTATATTCTGTTTCGGTAACAGTTTAATTGATATTTCCAACTTCCAGCGAGGATAGGCAGACCAGGATGGTAGGTAAATATAAAAAAAAGGTTTATCACTCCGCGCCCTCAGCAAGAAATCTTACAATTTCCAAGCTTTCATGAAAATACCCTTAAATTTCAATGTATTTTGATTTACTCAGGTTTTGCATAGGAAAAATAGGTTTGGTTGTAAAAATAAAACATTTAAAAAGAAAATGCAAGAAAATCTGTATTACCTTATTCTAAAACAAAATCCAAAAAAATCTTATGTAAAAAAAAAATACATAAAAATGTAAAAAAGTTTGCTGTCCCCTTTAGTACCAAGTAGTTCCACTTCTGGCATGAATCACCGTTAAACGATTTTGCATTCCTTGGAAAAGATTTCTAGTAAAATCCTGAAGAATTCCATCAAGAAAAGCAGTTTTCAACTCTTCTAGGGTGTCAGGACCCTATATTTCGCCGTCGTACTCGTCGCTTAAGTTGGTCCCAAATGTGTTCGATTGGGATACAATCTGAACTTCGAGTAGGCCACACGAAGCACTCAACTCCCGCCTCATTCAGTTGTTATCGACAATACGTGCTCTATCCTGCATTAGAAAGAATCTCTTACCAATGTAGGGGAAGGGGTGCAAATGGCATTACATGTTCTTGATTATGTATGTCTTGTATCTCTGGGAAAATGCCACACCAGAACAATGACCAACCGTTGGATGCCAACGGAGGAACAATACAGCACGGAACGTACCTTTCTCCTGAGCGACTCCATATATTACGCCCATCTGAAGATTTGAGGCCAACTTTCACCTCATCCGTAAAGAGAACTCATCCTCACTCTTCCACTATCCAATTCATATGTTCCCGTGCTAATTGAAGCCATGGAGCTGTGGTAAGAAGAGGTCCTGAGGTTATTTTCATTGAGCCTTCTTCTTACAGTCCTGGAGGAAATCGAAACATTTCGTACTTGCTTTATTAGATTTCCTACCAATGCTGTGGTTCCGTAGAACCTGATGACGGAGGACTCTATCGTTTCTCTCGTCTGTAGTCCTAGGTCGACCCAGTCCTGGCTTTCGTGTGAATCCCTGTTTCACTGATGTGACGAAAAACCCTTCCTATTCTAGTGATTTACACTCAGTCTCCTGTGACTTAGCGCTGGCTCTATTCTTCCTCTAATAATGATATGACCCTAACACTGTCATACTCCTCAAATGCCTGACTGGAGCCATTGAAAACGGGTTAAAAATAAGAATAATTTAAAATGACGCACGGGCACCTGCTTTTGGGCCAAAGCCCCCGCAGGTGCCCCTTATGCAGAGAAAGGTTGCTCGATGTGTCCACATAGTAGACGCGTGTCATGCCTTGGCTCCATACAGAGAGCGTGTAGGCAGCCCGATTTAAGAATGGTTCTCGGACAGCGAGTTTCAGGGTACCCTGTTCCGCTTTTTAGGGAAATTGGGAAATTTTTATTGCATATAGCCTCCAAAATATGTGTTTTGTGTTTCTGTGTTTTGTATAAATGAGTGTATTCATTAGAGTGAATTTGAGGGGATGATGGTGGAATAGCATCCCCATCGCCCCTCGAGCTGTGTACGTGACTTGGATCAATGACGGAATATTTATAAAAGTACCCCATCGACTCCAATTAGATTAGATTGTTATTGTAAGCAGGTCGATGAGGGATTAATGATTACTCCACCTACCAAATAGAATGAATGCATATAGGTGTGAATGTATTTATTTGTGTGAATGCGTATTGAATGTGTGTTGTAATATTTCGCATGCGCTCGGAGCTGAAATGACCAAGCTGTCCGATGCCCCGATATATTTTCGAAGGAAAAAGCGATCTTTAGGCGTAGCAGAATGGAAGAGCATAATGCTACTTTTTGTGCAAATGCAATTAATCCGTACAAAAGTGAATAAAGGAAGTTAACAAAGCATTATTACTGCTTACTTTGACTGCGACAACTCCTAATTATCTGTAACTTATGTGGAAAGATATTGGATTTAATTTTCCATTAAATCAATCTAATGGTGCTTAAATTTGGATTTGGATTTGTACAGGCTCAAATCCGCACATGTACGTACATATATTCAAACATGTGCCGGGTTGAGCCTATCGGCCTTCTCGTAGTTCCCAGGCAATTCCAGCTTTTCCTATTTACAGTAAATTGCCGGCAGATTCGAGAATCACCCACCCCGTGTATTGGGTGTCCGGAGGGGGGGGTGCGTTAAATTTGTCGATCAGTGTTATCGCCTGAAGTAAGATAAAAGGTAATTTAATTAAAATAGATGTAAGTTTCTGGGAAGCTTTTAAGTGAGAAATTTAGTCTATAAAACTTTAGCAGGGTATTGTTCAAAAGGAAGTTTTTTTTGCAAGGAACTAGAAGTGGCACTGAAAACTCAATAAATCTACTCTTTGGATATAAAAACCCCGGCATTTCGTCGAGTTTCGTCCGAGCACCTCGCCTGGGAAATCGTTTTCAGGACAGCGGCCGGAATTACCAAATAGTATGCAGGAGGTAAATAAATAAGCATTGATCAATGTTTCGGGATAGGAAAGTACGACAGGATCGGCGCATGTGCCCAGATGGTTCACTTGTTGCTGCCGGGGGCCCCGAATCCCTTCAGTCCAACTTCGATGTCTCCACGGCCGTCATGTCACAAATTTACGGCGATTTTACATCGACACATCAGGGAAAGGTTGGGGAAGGTCAGTAGTTTTTATGGTCACCATCCATCGTTCATGACGGCACCGTTGAGTCAAGCCGGAAATTTATTTTTTTTTCCGTCTTACCGAAAATTTTTAAAATAACCAAGCATTTTACATCCCGTTGAATTGAATTTTTCTTTTTCAAATTCCTTCTAGGACGGCTCGATAATCAAGGTGGGTGCTTTGAAATTCCCTGGTATAACACAATTAGTAAAAAACATGCAAAGGAAAAAACAAGCAAAGAATATTTTTTTTTTTTTTTTTTTTTTTTTTATATAATTTAATTTATTTATTTGTTACCTATACAGAATTGTATACTATACAAATATGTACACATGCATGAAATATCACACAGCACAACACTAGCACTAATGCCAGCACTGCACCGGTAGGACACATGCTTTGAGGAGCCAGCCATTGCTGGCACTCAGTTTATATGATTAGGGATCAAGGAGGTCCCGAGGCCATCGTCGGTTGAGGCGTCGTGGTGGGTTGTCAGGATGGGAATGAGTGGATAGGGCTCGAGCCGTGTGGTTAGGATGGTTTGAAAGGTTGGTATGGAAGGTTTGGAATCTGGACTGGATTAGTTCGTTGGCAAAAGGAATGTTGAGGTCTTTGTGGATAGTGAGGTTAGTGACATAACATAGGGTGCTTTAACAATTTGTCTAAGGACTTTCGATTGGAAGGACTGGATGCGCTGGATATTGGAAGGCTTGGCAGTGCCCCACAATTCTACTCCATATGTCCATATTGGTCTTAGTAAAGTCTTGTATAGTGTTAGTTTTGTCTTAATTGTCAAAGTCGATTTCGGTCTTAAAAGTCTTCGTAGTAGTCCAAGTCTTGTATTAAGTTGCTGTTTTTTAAGTCTTGTGTGGGGATTCCACGTCAGTCTGCTGTCGAGATATAGTCCCAGGTATTTGACTTGAGTGGAAACTGGTATCTCTTTGTTGTTGATGTACAATGGAGGGCAAGACTGCTTTTTCAGCGTAAAAGTACACTGAGTGCATTTTTCTTCGTTCAGTCTTGTCCTCCATTTTTTACACCAGTCTTCGATAAGCTCAAGCAAAGAATAGTTACAGTGGATAACTACTTTTTCCCCTATAACTCCTATAGAAACGAAAAACAAGATATAATTCTAAGTTAAAAAAAAGTATATATATAATAATAATAAAGTCAAACAGTTTTTTCAGTCAAGATCAAGTACTGCTGGCAGTATATTTGATAAAAGATCAAATTTATTTATCAGTTCTAAGAAATCTTCCTCTTACTTCGCAGAAAACAATCAAAACAAAAACAACCTCAAATTTTATGAGTCTCAACATGAATTTGTTGCTCGTATTTTTAAAAATATATTTTAACTTAAACTGCTAAAACAATTCAACACCACGACCAATACAAGTTTATTCTCTTTTTCTTGAAAACAAACCGAAAAATATATATAAAATATATAATATTTATTATTCATAAATATATTATTTAACCTTAAGAACTACATACCAATTTAAAAAATAATAATCATTTCAATATTTCTTCTGTATTTTAATGATCAAAATTATTTGTGCTATGGCTTTTGATCTAAAAAAAACCTTACCAATATTTTGTGCGTTAGTAATACGACCGATTAGAATTTTACGGTCAAGAAATTGTACATAATCCGCCGAAGGTGGTTTTAAATTTTTGACCTGAAAAGGTCAGTTTTTGAAGAATTTACTACACCTACACAGATAAAAAGAAAAGTAGCGAATGGTAGTAAACTGTAAACGCTAAAGATTACCTAGACAAATCGTTGTGAAACGAATTGAAATATTTAACAAAAAAATAAATTTTGTATTACGGCAACTTAAATTAAATATAATAATAAAATATGAATGATGTAAGAAAAAACTGTACAAAAATAGTGAGAACTCACCGAATGAAGTCTCCCAGCATTGGAATATAATTTTTCCAAATCTAGTTTCAAATCAAACTGAACTTTTTCTAGAATAAATGGTACATCATTGAGTATCGGCCTAGAAATAGTAAAAATAAATAAAAAAAATTAAAATGAAAAACTTAAAATTATTATAAAAACTTAAAATTATATTATTAAACTTAAAAACAAAATAAAACAAATGATTAACCCGGATATATGTCGATAAGTGTAGAAAGCTCGACATTAGAAAACAATTTGGTTCAATCAATGTAAACTGTTTCTTTTTATATGTCAAATGCAACGTAACTACCTGACACGTTATGATATATGTATATAATTTAAATTCCTGATTTAAAAAAAATGAAATATGGAAATGCATTGCAATTGAAATATGCAAATTATAGAACGAATAATTAGTATTTTTAGTTCAAGAAATAACTAACAACATAGATTTAGTATATTTATGCAACAATTTTAGATATATTTAAAAGTATATATTGTTTTACATTACGTCCTGATTTTGTTTTAAAGCGATGTAGATGCAAGACGTTTGATTAAAAACCATATCAAATTTGAATGGGTTTGAAAAAGTCCAGTTTTTTCTTGAAAAAATTAAGTTTCTTTTGCTACAAGTACGTCTTGTTTTGGAATGTTGAATTTTATTTGAAAGAAATATTTACAAATTTTAAACAAAAAAAGTTCAATTTGATCAAATTTTCCTTCGATTTTACATGGAAAAAGTCCGCTTTTATTAGCTAAATCCTATTTGATTTAAAAAACTTTAAAAAGTTCAATTTTTTGAAGTATTAAAGCTGTATACATTAAAGACGTTTTGAACGTTTTTTTGACATGATTGATAAAATTAATTTGTGATATCACATCAATTTGAATGAAAATGCAGAATTTAAAATAGAAAAAGTGTAATTATGAACGATTGAATTCAGTTTTGAAATATTAGACTTTGATTTTGAAAAGTCAATCATTCATAAGAATTCATAAGAAGCGGTTTGGGAAATGTTCAATTTAATGTGAAAAGAGTTATATTTTGTTTTTATACAAGTTAAATTTAGTTTGACAAAAGTTTATCTGGTTTGTGAAAATTCGGACGATTTGGAAACATTTCAATCAGATTTGGAAAAAGTCAATTTGGTTCCGACAAATGTCTATTAACTTTTTGGTTTGAAAAAGTTCAACAGGTTTGAAAAAAGTACAGTTTGATCTAGAAAAATTCAATTTGGTTTGGTTAAAGTATGGCTAGAGTCGGTAAAAGTTCAATTGTACTTGGAAGATCTACAAATTTGTTTAAGCAAAATGAGATTTGATTTGGCATTCATTCAGTTGAACTTAGAAATAGTCGGTTTTTATTAGACAAAAGTCATGTATGATTTTAAAAAACTTCATTTGGTTTAAAAAAGTCCAATTTGGAAAAAATGCAATTTGATTTAGAAAAAATCCATTTTTGTCTGAAAAACCAAAGTTCTATTCGATTGAAAAACAAAATTCAATTTATTAGAAAAAGTTTGGGTTCTGTAGAAAAAAGTTCAATTTGTTTTGAGAAAAGGTCCAATATAGTTTGGAAATTTGTAATAATTCAATTTTATAGGACAAAATTTAATTTGTTTGAGAAAACGTACCGTTGGATTGAATAAAGTTCCTAAATTTGATTTAGAAAAACTCTCATGTCTTTGAAAAATTCAACTTGATTACGAAAAGTTCACTTTTGAGGAAAAAAAGTTTAATTTGATACGTTATAAAGACCAATTTGGTTGACAACAATTTCAACTTGATTTGGAAAATGTCCATTCCGATGTATTCTCAAGATGTTTGATGTTATTTAGTACAAGTCTACTTTTGTTTGAAAAAGGTCAATTTAGTCTGGAAAAAGTTCAATTAGATTTGAATAAGATTTTGTAGTAAAAAATTTAGTTGGTAGAAATGATAAATGATGGAGTGAGTGTGGTGTTCAATCCTTTTTAAAAAGATAGTTCCTACTCACAGTAAGTTGTTTTGCAACGATCCGGATTTCGAGCCTTTTAGCTCATCATCAGGTTGAAGGACTTCTACAACCTGATGATGAGCTAAAAGGCTCGAAATCCGGATCGTTCCAAAACAACTTACTGTGAGTAGGAACTATCTTTTTAAAAAGGATTTAGCTGGTTTGTGAAAAGTTCAATTTGATAGCAAAAAAGTTCAACTTGAATTAGATAATATTTAGCTCATATTTTTTTAAAATACCCGAAGTTAGATATTTTATATCATCATTGTTTTCATTCTATACAAACGTTAATAGATTTATTTTTGTTGTACATAGGATTATCTAATAATAATATTTTTCAAATTGATTTAGAAAATATATATAGATATCAGAGTCTACTTTGATTTTTATTAGACACTAGCGTCCAAGTCTACTTTGATTTGAAAAAAGCCCAATTTAGTTTAGAAAATGTGAAATTAGATATTAAAGAAATTCAATTTTGGATGAAAACAGTTCAGTTTGTTTTGGTAAAGTCAATTTTGTTTTTAAAAAAAGTTTATTCAACTTTACTTAGAAAACGTAGGAGTTCATTAAGTAAAAGTTTCAATTCAATTTGACAAAATTTAGTTCGTAGGAACAAGTTCAGATTTCATTTGAAAAAAATTAATTTGATTAGGAAAAAGTCCAATATTATTGAAAAACCTCAACTTGATATAGAAAACATAATTGATTAGGAAAAAGTCAAATTTGATTCGGAAAAAGTTCAATTTGATTTGACATTTGGAGAAGGTCGAATTAGACTTGAAAAAGGTATATAAAGATTTTTTCATATTTTGTAAGAATATTCAACCATAAAAACATATTTTTAAACACATCAAACGATCGACAAATGCAATATTGTTTTATTATTGTCAGAGTTTTTGATTGTATGTAAAATGTATTTCTTTTATTATTTTTATTATTTCAACTCACTTAGGAAGGAACAGAAATACTTTCTTTCTGAGTATACATTTTAAAATGTAATTACGCGACGATATCAAAAAGATTGGCTTGATAAAATGAATTACAAGACAGAACAAAAAAGGTTGTTTATTTACTTTCAAGTTCAAAAAC